CCTAAGCCTCCCTGTTCCTTGTCCCCTAACTGTCCCCTCCTAAGCCCCCCCCAAATGCCCCCCAGGACCCTACCCCCTACCTGTACCCTGACTGCCCAAAACCTTCTCCACACCCCCAAAAAGCCCCCCCCCAAACTCCCGCCCCCCCCGCCCCCCGTCTCTTGACTGCCCCCTCCAAAACCTCCCTGCCCCTTCTCCGACCCCCTGGCCCCCTTGTTGTTGGCCTTTCTTCACCTAATGTCTGGGTGAACTTGCTCAGGAACTGCCTGAGCCGCTGGGCAGCAGTGGGGGAGGAGCTCCAGACTGCCGGAGCCGATCTGCCATGCAGGGAGGGAGGGAGGAGGAGGAGCCCTCTCTGTCTGAGTGTCGGAGCCCCATGTAAGTGACACCGTCCAGCCGGCAGCACTGTTAGCCGCGCCTGCTCTGCATCAGGGGGAAGTCCGGACATTTACAAATTCCCCCCCGGACGCTATTTTTAGCTTAAAAAGCCGGACATGTCTGGGGGAATCCGGACGAATGGTAACCCTACTTTATGGCAAAACTAAAGCATTTCTGTGTCCACAAGAGCTCTGACAGCCCTACCCTGCTCAGGTCAGAGCCATTTCTTCGTAACTCTTTGCTGCCATTCTCCCCTGCAGCCTCTCTGCTGCAAGCCAACTTGGCAGCATCCTTTGAAAGGCAACCGTCTCATTGGGGGTGTCCCACTGCACAGGGACATATCCTGCTACGTGGTGGGCCCGGCCAGCCTGGCACAGGGGGCAACACCCTTGCTCTTCCCAAAGCCCAGATATCAATGCCACTGACTCGAGAGAAAAGGAAGGAGCCACCAAGCTGGAGTGTTCATTTACAGGACATTTATTACACTGTAAAAAGTCCATTGGATTCCCAGCCATTTATTCCTTATGTACATTGTCTATCCCCTGCGGCTCTGGGTTTCCTCTGAGTACAGAACACGCTGGCTCTGAGTTGCTCCCCGTTTCCAATGGGATTTCTGCAATCAGCCTGGAGAATTTATAAAACTAGTTCAGAAAACAGGAAGAACTGAGATATGGTACATTCCAGCTGGCTCGCTCCGCTTCGGGAAGGGATGGCAGAGAAGGTACCGGCATCCACAGCGTAGGGGAGAAGCAAAGTGCAATGCTGCCAGGGCTTTGCTGAGCTGCTGGAGCTTTGGGGGCAGGGAAGGAGGGAAGCTGAGCACCCCAACGCCCACGGTGGGACTTGACAAGCAGCAGCCAGCTCCTCTCTCAAGCTAAGGAGCATGCAGGCCCGACGGCTGGAGAAGAGAGCACCTGCGGCTGGAAATAGGAAGGGGCCAGTGTAGTGTCTAGGCAGGAGGATGCTGTTCATTTCATGGGGAGTTGCTCCCCAAGAGCTGCTGTGGGAGAGGCATTGCTGGGGCTGCTTTCAGCTGCTGGCTTCCATCTAGTCTGCCCAATAGCTAACACTGGTTGGATTCTCTCCCTCCTCCCAGAAAGGCCTTAGCGTGTCGCTCAGACCCAGAGGGAGGGGGTAGAGTTGGTCTCGCCAGGGGTGCCCACTCGCGCCCTCTCGCCATTGGGCTGGGGGGAGCTTGGTGATACGCTGCAGTCCGGAGCCAGGAAAGCGCAGCCTGCACACCATGGCCAGCAAGCTCAGAGCCACACTGAGGGGGCTGTATGTTTCTGGGGAGAGGAACGAAAGCCAAACCCCTGCTGCATGGGGATGCCCAGGGCCTGCACCAAGAACTAGTGCCGAGGACAGTGGACATGGAGGATGAACCAGCTGGACTGAATGATCAGAGGGATCCCAGGAACCCAGGCCTCTCTGCTCCCACAGCACGGAGCTTCCCTCTTCACCTGCTAACAGCAGTGGCTTGGTCACAGGCTGCTGGGTAAAGGTGGCTGCCTGGCCCCTGAGATTGCAAAGGCAAGGAGGTGGTCAGTGGTGGTCAGTGGCACTGAGCTCCCCCTCCAAGGAAGGGAGCCAGTGACTCCTGAGCAGTAGCCATGAGAAGGGAGCAGAGGCCGACACGCTCCAGGGAGATTTTAGCAGTTGCCCTGCCAAACACCCTGCTGCCCTTCTGCTCAAGTTACCATCCTCTACAGTAAAGGTGGCAACTACCAGGGAGGATCTAGCCGGTGTCCTCCACCTGCAGCACTTCCTCAGCAAGCCATCCTCGAGCCCCCTCACTCTAGTTGACTTCAGAGGTTGTCATGGGATCGGTGGGCCGTGCAGTGGCCAGGAGGGGAACTGGGGAAGTGGCCTCAATCAGGGCAGGGTTGAGAATGATTGGCAGAGTCATAGGCGGCACCCCGACCTGCAGGGGGGAGGCGAGAGGCTGCAGGATCAGTGGTGACTGCGCCATATGAGGAGGTACATCTGTGACGGGGCTCATCTTCACTGATGCCACCGCAGAGAGAGGGGAGCCAGAGGCGCCTCTGATGGCTGGGCCGGGGCCTGGGGCTCTTTCAGAGCCTGTGAAAGGAATGAAGAGAACAATTCTTTGTATTAAACCCTCTCCCAAGTAACCCTGAGGCAAGCAGGGATCACAGGGCCTGCCCCAAGGCCGGCCTCCCACCCACGCCCAGCGGGGATCGCAGGGCCTTCCTCCCACCACCCTCCGCCGAGAGTGGATCACGGGGCTTCCCCCGGGCCAACCTCCCCCAAAGCCGAGCAGGGATAGTGGGGCTTGCCAAGGCCAGCCTCCACCCGAGCCGAGCAGGGATCGCGGTGCCTTCCCCCGGGCCACCCTCCCCAGTCCCAGTCAGGCAGCCTGAGCAAAGACACAAGCCAGGGCAGCTCACGAGCATTCCCCCATCACTATAACCGCAGAGGGATGGAGGCCTAGGCTTGTCCAGTTGAAAACTGAAGCCCACTCCACAGCTCAGAGCCTGCTCAGGAGACCCAGCCCCTGCAGTCCAGTCTGATTGAGGCTGAAAGTGGCTCCATTGAACCCAAGCCCAGCTGGACAATGCTGCTGGGGAGGGACGAGTGCTTGAGCCCACAGGAGACTCACCACTGGCACCCAGCTCAGAGGACTTCTCCAAGGGTGCTAGGTGGGCGGCAGAAGCAGGCAGGGCAGGGGCCACTGGTTTCTGAGGATGTGGCTCTGTTGGCACACTGGGGACAGGTTCTAGATACATAAAACAAGCAGTGAGCCTGCAGCCCCCCATGAGCCATACTCCCCCCAACCCCACCATCCAGCCTCTCACCACAGTGCCCTACTCACAAGCCCCACCACCCCAGGCCTATGGGCTCACCAACAAATGCAAAAGGCATTCCCTCCATCCCAGGCCTATGGGCTCACCAACGTCCTGGCACTGGAGGAAGGCTCTCCCCCCCTCCCAGGAAGCAAAGATCTGGCCTGCAAGGGCAGGGCCGTGATGGCAATTCCCCAACCCTGCGTACCCTGGATGACTGTCTGTTTGAAGAGCTCATCACGCAGTCTGGGCAGGAAGCAATCTATCCGCTCCCAAGTGATCTCCCAGAGGTCCGAGTACCCTGTGCGTGAATCAGCACTGTGGAATATTCCAGCCGTGTCCATCACAAGCAGCATGTTCTTCAGAGACTCTGGGATGGCCTCTAGCTGCAAAGAGACACTCTTTAGAACAGAGCTGGAGCAACTCAGGGACAGAGAAATGGAGGCACAGAACAGCTGACTGAGGGTCTTGGAGCATGAGACCACTGGGGGAGATGGGACCAGGAGGGTTTCAGAGCAGGGGAGGGGAGAGGAGGGAGCCGGGAGTAAGAGTGGGAAGAGAAGGCACCATGAGGCCAAGAGAACAGGGGAAGCATTGTAGCACCCACTCAGTGCCATACCAGTAAGTCGCTGGAGCCTGCATGCATGTATTTGTCCATGAAGTCCAGGATCGTCAGCCACAGAGCAGCGAACGTTGTCAAGGAGAGCAGCGGGGAGAGATGCTGCAGGAACACCTAGAGTAGCAACCACCACCACAGTAAGGGACACGAGTTAAGAGGCAGCACCAAGCCACAGGGCTGCGACCCTCAGCTCTGGGGCTAAACCCTCCATCCCAGAGCCCTCCCTTTTTCTGGCAGGTTCAGGAGAGGGATAGGCAGGAATCCAGCCACAGGGCTCCGAGGGCTCCGGAGGCAGTGCCCAGGACCTGATCTCCCCTCCTTTAGATCTCCAGCACATGCTGCTGCTCAGCTCCGACCCCCACACTTCCATGCCTTTGGCACCCACTTCCCCTGGGCCACATGCTGATCAAGACATTATCACTGATCGCTCTGGAGGAGGAGTGCAGTGTTAAGGTGCCTGTCTCCATCCTCTGCGAACAGGAATGTTTCTGAATGCTGGGATGAGGGGGACATGCAGCAGTCTGGCAGCAAGACACCCCCCTGGAAAGCAGGCATTGCACAGCATTAAGTACAGCACGTGCAGTTCGGGGAGGTGCCCATTGCTCAGGGCTACTGCCTGGCCAGATCACACACTGGCAGTCAACCTTCAAGCCCACCCCCACAGCAGCAGAGTTGGTCAAAATCCAAGCACAACTTTTTAGCTAGACCCCAAGCAGAGTCTCGCCGAGCTGTCTGCCACAGAGCTCCGCAGGCACAAGTGGAATGAGGCGCATCCTTGCCTTGGAGAGCAGTGTCGAGGCTCTCATTCTGGTCTCTTCCATCCCACCAACATCAGCTGGACTGACGTTCTCCAGCAGTTTGGTCAGCAGAGGGAACAGCACCTAGTGGATCAATGACATGAACATGCTGGGGGTCAGGAATCGTCACCACAGAAGAGGAGGTTGCTAACCTGGCCAGAGTGGTTGGCTCATGGCATTCTGGGGACTCACACCCAGGCCAGCAAGCGCAGAGGCAGCTCAGAATATGAGAAGGACAGGGCTGCTTTCACACCTCAAAGAGGTTCAGCTGGGAGTCTGGGCAAAGGGGTTTTCAGAGGGACTGGGAGTGGGGAAAGCCCAATCCTTCACTGTGAGTGGGCAGCTGCCTGGAACAGCTGCACTCCATGCTAGCCACAGGGCATGGGAAGCCAGTGCCCTCAGCCCCTGGACGGCTTGCTCCTTGACTCCCCCATACAGCACTGCTAAAACCAATGGGAAGCCAGCCAACTCCAGCTACAGTTCCCAGAGGCAGCGCTCCCCTGCTCAAGTGCACAGCCCAGCTGGGAGGTTACCTTATTGAAGCAGGACTCCCACTCCAGAGCATCCAGCGCCTGCAGGTCATGCACAAGGAGAGCCCGCTGCAGGTAGGTGAGCGCCTGCATCCGCACCTGGCGCCGGGCATCACAGCACAGCCAGGCGATACCTGCACACGGGTGAGAGTCAGAATCTCATTTCCGCATCAAACATAGGGCGGTGTCACGTCCTCCTCTGCCACCCCGTGGGTGAGTGTAAAAGCTCATTCTAATGCAGTGCAACACTTTGCCGTGCAATCTGGAGCCTTGGGTGAGAAGTGCTAGGGAAGGGCATATGCTGACCCTCCTTCACCCCCCGGAGAGAAGCTATCCAGCACCGAGGTCACAGATGGTGAACGTGAGGCCTAGAGTGGTGAAGTGACAAGTCCAAAGTGAGCCAGTGGCAGAGATGCCAGGTCGGACTCAGGTCACAGCCCTGCTCTGAGCACTAAGTCACGTCTCTCTCCAACCCCGTGGTGCTGGACGATGCTCAGCCCCAACCGTTCAGAACAGCAGTGCTGCTGCTCACTTAGTCACTGCGGCCCTTTCCCATGCTGCCCTGCAAGCTCATCTCAGCTGCCAGGCCCCTGGCCTGGGTGAAACAGGACGTTAGCCAGTGGGAGGGTATTGGTAGCAACAGCCATGTCAAAACAGCCAAGGAACAGGAGCAAACGCACTGATTTCTTCTCAAGCTGGGCTAGGACATCACTTGTCATACAGCTGCTGTCCAGTGTCCTTTTCCATCTGGAGAGGACACAAGGAGCAGCTCTAGCTGAACTCTCCTCCTTCCCCCCTCTGCAGGGCTCGGCCCTGTGTACCAGCCCCCACCCTGACACTGGAAATCTCCACCCCATCAGCAAAGGAAAACGGGGGGTGGGGGGAGGGGCGGGCTTTACCCTGCAGCAAGGGGCACCAGCAGTTGGACCACAGTGTTTGAGAGTCTGCTTCGATTTTCTTCCCTGCGGCCTCCAGGTGGCGCTGCTCCTCTGCCCAGGAGCTGTAGATGGTGGCAGCTCGTGTGTGGAGGGTGTGCATGAGGTCCAGCAACTGCAATTAAAAGCATCCAAGTAAGCAATGCACCAGGGATGCCATTTCATGGGGAGGGGGGCAACTTTAACCATGATTCCTGAGGCTACTTGGGCACCTGAAAACTCAGGATTTTTTTTCCAGATAACATCTTAGATACAGTGCTCCTGTCAGATAATAATTTCTAATTCCTATATAAAGAAAGAAATTTAAATAAATATTAAACCCACTCAGCTCTAATACTAACATGTTCTGATATCTTGTGTCAATTCACTTAAGGGACACTGGTTTGGTTTAAAATTTTAATGTGTAAACTTACTTTGGTACTAATTCTTGAATACAACTAACTATTGAAACAATTGTAGAAAAATCTAGATTACTTTCTATCACTTTTTTGCAGTTCATCAAGCTTGGAATAGATCATTTAACTTTTGGAAACATCCTACTAGGGCAAGGCCCCATGAGTTTAGACTGCCTGGGATTCTAGGGGTGTTACCCCACTACAAATAATAGACTAGAAACTGACTTTAAACAAGAGTGAAACTGACACTGTCAAGTCACTTTCATAGTATTGCTAACCCCAAATGTTCATGAATCAGGCTCACCAAAAATCGTGAGATTGGCTTTAAAAATCATGAGATTATGTATAAATAATACATTTGGTGTTCTTTTTATTTACATTCTGCTTTTTGAGCCTTTACAGTGCACTGGGGTCACATTTTGAAGCTTTCTCCACACACACAAGGGCTAGAAACGTCATTTCTCTTTAAGACTGAAGGATGAAATCATCACATATACACTTGACTCCAGGAGCTGGGGCTTTAAGGAAAACAATAATTATCATGAGACTCATGACAAAATCATGAGAGTTGGCAACACTGCCTTCTGTTTAGAGGCTAGTTACTTTCCAGAAGGATCTTAAACACAACACTACAGTGCTTGAGTTGCAGTTTTCACAGGAGAATATTTAAAACCAAACGCCAAGAAAATTCCACATTTTAAAGTTGAGAAAAGAATTGAGACTTCTGAGGTATCTCAGGGCCAATGCAGGCAGGAAAGAAAAATAAACAGCACTGGAGTTCTGGGCAGCTCTTCCTCTTGAAAGAAACTTGGAGGGTCAAATCTCCTAGACATTAATCAAGTAAAACTATTGCCATCAGTGCCTCCACTCAGAGATATTAACATCACAGTGAACATATGATTACATGTGTGGTCAATAACTATACACTTCATACTTAAATATCCGAGCCATCTTATCCAGAGTTACACATCATATATGCATTGGCTCAGGGACTACATTTTCCCACTAGGTGCCTTTGAAAATCTGGCCTTTTGTCTGTGTCCTAGGGTGACTAGACAGCAAGTGTGAAAAATTGGGACAAGGGGTGGAGGGTAATAGGCACCTATACAAGATAAGGCCCCAAATATTGGGACGGTCCCTATAAAATTGAGACATCTGGTCACCCTAGTGTGTCCCTCAGTGCCCCATCTGTACAATGGGGATAACAGCACTGCTCTACCTCACCGAGGGGCTGTGATGTGAGGCAGTCATACTGTGGCGATGGGGCCACATAAGTACCACAGATAGAGTGGGAACTTCTCTATATCTGCTATCCCTTCCCTGGGTTTTGGCTCCTTCTTTTCACATACCCCTCTCACATTTCCCTCTTTTCTGAATAAAAACGGGGAGTCTGGTGGCACCTTAAAGACTAACAGATTTATTTAGGCATAAGCTTTCGTGGGTAAAGACCCACTTCTTTACCCATGAAAGCTTATGCCCAAATAAATCTGTTAATCTTAAGGTGCCACCAGACTCCTCATTGTTTTGTGGATACAGACTAACAGGGCTACCCCTCTGATCTTTTCTGAATGTAAACTTGGCTCAGAGGGCTTGGCTGTATTTCTTCCGAGTCCTCTGCTTTCTCTCTTCAACACCCCCCAGGGATTCCTGTTTTACAGGTTCATCTAAAGACTTCCAGATCCTTAATTTAATCAACAACCTTTCTTATCTTAATCACCCTGCCTCTGTTTGTAAACAAAACACTGACTCCCTGCCCCAAGAGCACAAGCTGCAAGAAGCACCTCTCCTCTGCAGAACTCACATTCCACACTACACCTCTACCTGGATATAACATGAATTCGGATATAACACGGTAAAGCAGCACTCCGGGGGGCGGGGCTGCGCACTCTGGCAGATCAAAGCAAGTTCGATATAACACGGTTTCACCTATAACGCGGTAAGATTTTTTGGCTCCTGAGGACACCGTTATATCGGGGTAGAGGTGTAATTCTGCGAAGTTGAGAGGTCTGCCTGGGAGCCCACCTCCTGTAGGGAACTCAGGGTGGGGCAGGACCCCCCCCCCACACCCTTCCTAATTGGCACCCTTGCAACTTGCAGGATTCTAGTGCCCAAAGCAATGCTGTGTCCTGCCTTCCCCTAACCCAGGGCAAAGAACTTCCACTCCTCACCCAGATTCACCCACACCAGCACGAGAGAGAGGGGTGTGTGTGTGTGTGTGTGTGTGTGTGTGTGTGTGTGAGACACATCCTTCTATGCCCCCCACTGGGTCATTCAAGACAGGGGGACAAACACACTGGCAGAGATGAGCCTGTCTTTAACGGCTGGGAGGAAGAAGCACTCCTCTGGGAGAAGGAGAGAGGATCAGAGGAAGGGCCAGTGATGAGCTCCCAAAATCCTACGAACCGTTCCTTGGCGGCACTTTGGCAGCGGGGGGGGGGGGGGGGGGGCCCCCCCCCCCCCCGGGGCCCGGGCCGGGCCCCCCCCCCCCCCCCCCCCCCCTGCCGGGCGCGGCCGGCGGGGGGGGGGGGGGGGGGGGGGCCCTCACTCGCTCCAGGTTTTCGGCGACAGGTCCTTCACTCGCCCGCCGCCGAAGTGCTGCCAAAGATCCGGTAGGGAACCGCGCGGTGAGTACAAGCCCCACGTGCCTGTCTCCCCCCCGCCACCCACCCATTTGACCTTAACCCACGTCTTGCCCCCAACTGCCCCCTCAGAACCCGTAACCCATCAACCCCCCCCTCCTTGTCCCCTGACCACCCCCTCCCAAGACCCCCCACCCTAACTGCCCCCCAGGACCCCACCCCCTACCCAACTCGCCCCACTCCCTGTCCCCTGACTGCCCCAACCCCATCTACCACCACCCCGACAGACCCCCGGGACTCCCACGCCTACCCAACCCTCCCTTTCCCTGTCCCCTGACCGCCTCCCCATAACCTCTGCCCCCTCCAACCGCTCCCTACCTTATCCAACCCCTCCTCCCAGCCCCGGCTGGCCCCCTTAGCATGCTGCTGTGTAAGGATGCCGCGCAGCCGCTGGAGCTTGCAGCCCCACCCCCTTACCCAAAAGGTGAAAGTAAGCTGGTATGCCCCTGTACAGCGTACCGGCAAGAGCCGGTGTTCCATACTGGGGTGGCCCAGCTTCCCCAGGGGGCAATTTAAAGGGGCTGGAGCCCCGGGCCCTTTAAATTGCCACCAGAGCCCCACTGCTGGAGCCCTGGGGTAGCGGGGGGCTCCAGGGGCTATTTAAAGGGCCGAGGCTCCAGCTGCCTCTGCCGCCCTGTGGGAGCCCCGCCGCTTCCCCCAGGGCTGGGGGAGCCTTGGCCTCCCAAGCTGGGAGCTCAGGTGGGCCAGACAGGATGGTCCTGCGGGCTGGATGTGGCCCGCGGACCAGAGTTTGCTCACCCGCCCGCCCCTTTAGTAACTGGTTCTACACCAGCTTCTAAATTTAGCAACCGGTTCTTGCGAACCAGTGCGAACCGGCTTCAGCTCACCACTGGGAAGGACTAGTGGGTCGCATGGGAAAGAATGGAGCCCTTCTAGATATGTGGGGAGGGAGCGCTCCCGCTGGAGAGAGGGAGACAATTGCAGTCATGCTGACCAGGTACAGTCTGATCTTTTCTGCGTAAAGCCTGTAACAAGGCTATTGCTCAGGGACTAATGATTCAGTTACTGAACTCTAGGTCTACAGCATGACTTCCCACAGGACAACACCCAGCATGGCGCTGCATATGGCCAGTCAAGGTCCGCATTGAGAACTGTTTCCAGACAGAGTTGACTCCTCCGCCCTTCAAAGACCTCCAAATTCCGAACACATCCTTCACTTCCCTCCATGGAAGTGCCCTAACTCCACCTCAGACACACCCCAGGGTTCACACATCCTTCGTTCCTCTATCACAGACACCCCTCACTATCTCATCACAAAATCCCCCCCATCCCAGTCACATTCTTCAGTGACCCCCACAGCTCCAGACACAGCCTTCATCCCCCCCCCCCAATCTGCCTGTGTCTCCCTTCATCACACAGGCACCTCCTACACTCCCCTTAACATTACAACCAGACACATGCCTGACCCCTAGCTGAGCACTGATAGAGATGAGCCCCACCCCTCTCGGGGGAGTTCCCACCAAGGGTGGGCAGCGGGGCCCCCAGATGGGAAAGGAGAGGAGGAAATCCTGGCTATACTTACGTCCTGACTAACCTGTAAAGACACAGTGTGGTAGCTGGCCGGAACACTCTCGTCATCCTCCTCATCGCTGTGGGAGTGGCTCTGGTGCTGGCTCGAGGCCCGCGAGCGCCTCAGCGAGTTCTCTTTTGGCTTCTTCTTGAACCGGTTGGCTTTACCGTCATACTTATGGCTCTTCGCCCGCTTCTCCTGGGACTTGTACCCTAGGGAGCACCAGGGGCCATAACATACTCCATCATACGCACTGGGATCCCAATGCAAGCCCCTCTCAATCTACATGCTAACAACATGCTGAAGCAAAGGGCCCAACAACCTCATGAGGTGCTGAGTGCCCCCAGAGATCTGTGGATCCTCAGAGCCTGTTGGAACCAAGCCCTGGGCAGCAGCACCACCAGGACACCATTTCTCTGGCTGATGGTGCTCCTCTTTCTCCACATTGCAGTCACACGGTTCCCCTCACTGGCAGGAATGAGGGACAGGAAGGAGCTGTGGAATGAGGTCAGCACTAGCTCACTACTCCAGCACCCATGGCCGAACTGACCCCCACTGGGTGATCTGCCTGCTGCAGCCAGCCAAGCTTTAAAAGGCCGAAGTGACAAGGCCTCCCCCTGCCCTCACCCCCACCTCTGAGAAAATCCCACAGCCGATTGGCTCTCCTTCTCTGAGGGTGCGCTCTGCTTGTTCCTTGCTCCTCTGTGTGCTGTTGCTGGACGCACCCTAACCAAGCCCCGCCTCACCTCCATTCAAACTCGCCTCTACAAAGATGCGGATGGTTTTGACGCAGAGCTCGAAGTTCTCTGGAGTGACATGAGCAGCATCTCGCACAATGAAGGACAGGGACTCCACGCACTTCATGAGAGATTTGGTGTCGTGTGGGCCCAGGTCCAGACCCACAGTCAGGCTATACTGGTTCACGAGAGGAGATGGACCCTGCCTGCTGAGCCCAGCCATGGGTTTGGGGCTGTCAATGTCGTCCTTGCCAACCTGCAATGCGGAGCACTAGCAGTGTGAGAGGATGTAGCCCTGTGTGCACAGCACACACGCGTCAGCCCATCCCCAAGGCCAGAGACAGGCCCTTTTCTCTATCACCAACAGGAGGTACTGCTGGCAGGACTCATCTCCCCTCCTTTCCACACTTGTCTCCTCCTGTTCACCTCCTCTCCACCTTTGCCTCTCATCCCCCTTTCCTTCCCTCACCCCCCTTGCTCTGTTCTCCAGTCCCATTCCCTTCAGACCCCACCCCACCCTACCCTCCACCCAGAGCTGTCAGAGAACTGCACCCACTCACTACAGGGCAAGCACGAGCTAGATGCACATTGAGGAGGATGGGATCTGCAGGGCAGGGAGCTCAATGACAGCTGCACCCTGACTCCAGTGGATACGTGTCCAGCTGTGGTGCTTACAGCTGTCTCACTTCTGTACACTCTGCTGCTACAGCGGATCGAGCCTTCACCCCAGGCAGCCCTCGCCTCACTCACCACCAGCCAGCCGCTGTTCACCACATCCACGTCAGTCACGGAGCGATGCATCTTGCCTTGCTTGCTGTGATCAGCATATACCTCAGAATCAGAGGTGTAGCCACGGTCCAGGCTGACATCACTCGGGTGGTAGGACAAGGAGATCTCACTGTCAGACTGAGCACCTTCAAGAAGAAATGCATAGAAGTGAGCCAAAGCCAGAGCTCCAGAGGATACAAGCCAAAAGAGGCTGCTCCAGCTCACGAGTTCCCAGTTAGAGGAGAACCTGGCCAGGCCTCATCTACTCTTGCTTTTCCCCCCATGAAAGCAGCCATCAGAGCAGCACCCTCAGGGGAGAGAGAGAAAGACCAGATCTTTGTAATAGTTTATCCCCTGTAGCAGACTCTCCTCTTCTGAGGGAACACATGATTTATGCTGGGAATTCCCACAGGATTCCCCATGCTCCAGCTGGCTAATATGGCTGGGGACCTAGAAGGAGAGAAAGTCCAACGCTGAAGCCTGGACAGGATAAAGATGGATCCCAGCCGGGGGTTCCCAAAACTGGCCTCCAAAATTGCATTTGCAAAATCTTTCACACCCCCCCCCATTTGTGCATGTGCCCCCCTGCACCCACACTGCCTGCTACATAGCCATACAGAACAGGGGATATATGCAGATCCAACCAAAAACGTGGCCTGAACTGCTGAGCCCCATTTGTATGCATGGAAGTGCTTTCATTCCAGGCACTCTACTCCAGCGGGGCAGATCAGAAACATCACATGGAAAAGGGGAGTTTGAGGAGAATTACTGCAGTTGCTATGGTGGGACAGGGCAGCACAGCCAATGCGTTGGAGAATTTCATGCGCTAGATAGGGCCTCGGGGTCATTCACCCAGCCCCACCTCTGCACTAATCTCATGCTCTCCAATAGCCAGCAGTGTACTTTAGCATGCTGTGTCATAGGGGCTGCCTTCTCTACACCTGGCATTCAGTTGATATCACACATTCCCAGCTAAGCAATCCTTGCTGGGGGCAGCACTGAAGCCAATGGGATCACTTATTTATGGGCAATTGCTGGGTGTTCTCCAACATCCCACATTTGGTACAATCTAGCCAGCAGGGAGGGAGGTAGAGCTCGGCCCTGAATGTCCGAATGCATTTCTTGGTACAAGACTCATGGCAGAAGAGCTTGTGGTCTGTTACATTGCCACTGGGTCTTGTCGTGTGCTTGTGCCACCAACAGACAGCAGTGCTAGAAGAGACTGTAGAGAACAATCCTGGGCTGGCCCCTGGAGAAGCCAAGATGAAAGGCCCACCAGCCCAGTCTCCAGCAGCTAGGAGTCTATGGCAGCAGGACTTGCCAAACCAGCAGGCATAACGCCCCAGGACCTCACAAGTAAGAGCTGGGGAGAGGAAGGAGGCCCTCTATTGTAGGCCCGTGGCAATGAGCTTTGAAGGCACATCAATCAATCATTTTGCCATGTGCGGGGGGGGGTCGGGGGGGGAGGGAGGAGCTTAGATTGGATTTGCCAATGCTCCCAACTGGATTGCTCTCACATGATCGGTAAGTATCAAGTTGAGACAGTGGGGGACTGGTGAGCAGGTTTTGTATGAGTGGCCAGTGCCCTGTCTATGCCCAAATGGATTCAGAATCACAAATGTTTGATTGCAGTTTCCCAGCACACTGCTCTTAAAACAGCCACAGAGGAGCCAGTCTCTTCACTTCCTTGCTGTCTCCCTCTGTAAGAACATCTAGTAAGATGTGGACAATAGCTCGGTTTATATTACACCCCCAAAGAGGGGGATTAATCTGTACTGCCCAGGACAAGACCCCCCTCCCTCTCTTGGAACACAGCAGTCTCTCTCAGCAGCTGTGCAATCTCAGCTTCCATTGTTCCCTCTGGTGCACGGGCTACTGCTCCAGGAGGAGATGGCAGAGCAGAGAAAGGGACAAATCATGAGTAGGAGTGAACAGCAGGTGCTGGCTTTTAATCTTGCTAATGTAGTTTAATATCAGCTTTGTTTTCCTGCAGTCCCCTTTGCTAATTGAAAAGCCCAGGGAAGCAGCTGCTTATCTGGCAAGCAGGCATCAGATTTCCTAGCAGCAGCCCTCTGTCTTACCTGTGTCATTATCTGCCCTTGCTGTAACCTGCAGGGCTGGGGGCGGTTTCACCCCTGACCCGATACACTCCAGGAGGGTGAAGAGTGTGTACCAGTCATCCCCGGAGTGGATGTTAGCAGCATTGGTCTTCAGGAGCTCGTGGAGGCCATAGGCAACCTGGTGGCTAACTCTGGACAGCATGCTGGGCTTCATCATTAGCAGGATACGGAGCGAGAGGAGAACCTGGCCAGGGAAGGTGGCAGTGAGTGCTCACGGCCAGCGCTACATCCAGTCCCATTTCTTATCAGAGTCCTCCTCTCCCAGTTACTTAGAGCTAAAGGCTGCAGCTTCTTCAGCAGAGTTGCGTGCACTGCAAAGGACTGTGAGATTAACCCAGCCCCCTTGCTCGCTGGTGTGCAGTAGTCACATACAGTGTGCTTAGGCCCCTTAGTCCCTGGTGGTTGGCAGCAGACAATTTCTGTGAGCTGGAATCTGCTGTAGTAGGATGTCAGCAAAGCAGCACAAGCAGGGACAAGGCCATTCAATGTGGTGTGTAAAGAGTATAAAACTCCCCATCACCCAGGCAGTGTGTTAGTACAGAGAGGCTACAAGCCAGGGATTGTAAGGGTGTCCCTTTAGGCACATATGGTTAACACACAAACTTGGGTGAAAGCATTTTAGTCACCACTGTTCCACACAACACCTTTAACCCCTAGGACTGAAAGGGTGGAGAAAACCATCAGTCTGCAGTTCAGTCTGTTCACTTGTCAATTGGACTCTGAAGTGCTCTCAGATGCAGGTGCCTCACAGGGTGTGAATCTGTCAAGACCTGACACTACTTTTAACTGACTAGGCTTTAAGCGGACGTTGTCCCTTTGGCTGTGAGATTCCCCTCTCCCAGACCAGGTCCACCTACCCTCCTTCTCCATGACAAGGGGCATGTTCAGATGCCTTTGGGGGATGGGTCTTTCCCTTGCTAAGGGCCCTTGTAGGGGAATTCTTCTCCGTCATCTTCATTGCTCTGAACCCATCAGACCAGGCTCCATGGCTTTTGCCTTTTAGCTGTAACTCTCCCCTTCTTAGCAATTCAAACAGCTCCCAAAGTGCCTTGAAGTCTGCAGCAGGGCACCAAATCCCAAGACAAGTGAACAGGTGGGAAGTGGTGCTGCCACAAATACAGGGAAGAGGCCAGCACTCAGAGCACACAAGTGATGCCATGCTAGGATGACTAACAGCAGCGACAGATTCCTCACGGGCTGGTGAGTGCAGACACAAAACCCAGTGCACCGACCTCCACCAACCCCTTTACCTGGGCACTGATCTCCTCCCGGCGCAGGAGCCGAATGGCCAGCCTGAGCAGCCCTACCACCGCTCTTTCCACTAGGAAGCAGAACTCCAGAGCATGGACGCACAGGTGATAGAGGTGGTCTCGCACTGCCTGCCAGACACATCCCACACGGTCCCTAGCCAACACAGCAACAGGAGAAAGGGCAGGGTGAAGGGAGATGAACAGCAGGGCTGAGCGGCTGCTCTCAGAGACCTCGCAGGCCTGGTATCTCTCTGCTTCAATTGGATGCTCCAGCAGAGAGTTACCAACAGCAGATCTATGGGAGCTCATTGTTTCATTATTCACAAGCAACCAGGTGAGGGAGGGCGCCCTAAACTCAGCTTCCTTAGAACCTCCTGGCCCCTTTGCTCATTTTGCAACCCCTTCCCCGCCTCAGGTGTGCCAGACGCATGGGGGCTCCCACCAGCCAGCCCTCCCATATTTAGCAGGAGATCTTTGCAACAGGCCACCCACCTCACCATCAAGGCGATGTGGGGGAAGGGTAATTCTTGATCATAAGACTTGGCACTGCAGCTACACTATCCCCCCACCTCTACTCTAGGAGTGAGGTCTCCCCCACCTCTGCATACCTAGCTGGGGCAGATACCATTTTAGTCTCCATGTCCTCTAGGTCTCCCTGTAGTAAGCAGAGCTTCACAGGGGATGGCTCCTTTGTTTACAGGTACTGTGGTGGAACTACTAAACCCAGCAGTTGTGCTTCAGCTGGCAAACCAAGCCCATAAGGAACTGAGCCCCTGGACCTACACATCAGCTAGTCACTGCTGGAGCAGTTCTGGAGACTGTGTTTGAATGAAGGCATTGGCATGCAGCTCAAAGAATCACCTATTCTCCAGCACAATCCTCAGCAGCATCTCCAAGCAGAAAGCAGCGTCCTCCTCATCATATGTCTCCTCATCAGGAGTTACGGAGATCAGAGCCTGAAAGAGCCAAAGATCATCAGTACCCATCATCACCTCTGCATGCAGTAGAAACCCTCCCAGAGGGACCAGCTTGTGCATTCCCCCATTCACACAGCACTTCGCAGCTTCTGCAACTGGATCAGCCATTTGGGAGAGCAGAGCTGCCAGATTCTTTTTCTGATGCGCTAACTAATGTTCAACTACCAGGTATTCAGGCATGCAGCTTGCCAAGGGAAGGCAAGAGGGACGGCCCCAGGACCCCTAGGCACAGCTACACGAGTTCTCAAGCCTCTGCTGAGTCCCACAGTGATCCTTTAAGAAGCTATACAACAAATTAACACCTGGCTCTGCTCTTAAGGAAATCCCTGGACCTAATTTCCCATCCCAGAGACAATGAGAAACCTTGAGCCAAAAGCTGAACTGAGTGCTGTTCTTAAAGTACTCCTAGATAAGTCTTCTGGAGAAGGACCTGCCAGGGAAATATTCCACCGCAGTATATGTTACATGGCTGTAATTACAGTGTACCCTCCTGACCACTATCCTCTAGACCTACAACCTGCCTGTGATGCCTCTCACCTTCATGAGCTCCTGGAGGGACTCCAGCTGGAGGAACTTGCTTTCAGTGATCAGCTTCTCGGGGTCACATTGCTGCAAAGAAGAGAAGGGAAAGGGAGAGTGCTGTGAGCAGAGACACAACCTGAAGAAACGCAGCTCATGCAGGTCTGCACACACAGAGTAGATTGGAGAGGGAGCTTTAAGCCCATTTCTAGTAACTCAGTCCCCGTCCAACCAATACGCATCACTAGAAGCCATTCCTCCTAAAGAACCTGGCCTCCACTGGGCAGATTTTAGGGGAGAGAAAAAGTCACCTTCTGACTGTCACATCAAGGAAAACCTGTATTTGTTACAAATCTATTCTCATCAGCTTGTGCTTAGTTATGGGACTCTAAACTAGAGGGCACATCTCAGCTTCCTATGGGGAAGCGCCTGCATTTTCATGGACTTATGGAACGTGGCTCCCCATGGGCGAGTGTTGTTAGACCTGTACGGAGAACACTACAGCTCCCTACAGCTGTGCATATGTAGGTATTCTTCAGGGTCTTTAGGTCCTTGAAGTTTTCAAGTCCTCTGGGATCCTGGCTCCAGCTAAATGGTTAACACTCCTCCACAGGAAGCGGGTACTTAGAGTTACAGCCCCACTTCCCATTATCTGTGAAGGTCTGTCCTCTCATACACACTGCGCTCAATGCATTGCACTCTGTGCCAGATTATTTTCAGTCCTGTGCATTACCTTGATGCACTCCAGAGCCATTCGCTTTGCCTCCTGGTTCTCTGTAGATGGCCCCCTCATACCAGATTGTTCTGTACCGCTGAGGGTGAGCCAGCTAACAAAGCTCAGCACTGTGGATTCACCGCTGCAAACAGAACACACACATCAGCCACACAAGAAAAAAACATGCATGTTCCCTAGCACCTACGAGGGACTCACTGGGCCACATCTCCCTGTGCCACTCACCGGTTAGATGGGGTCTCTTCCCGCTGCAGAGAGATCTTGCCATTGGGATCCACAAAGTCTTCAACCTGGAAGTCAGACCAGAGTGCATGTCCCAGTGTTCACCTCTTTCAGCTCTGTCTTCTTCACATCCCCTAATCAATTTTCCACTCTACCTTCCCATCCCTGAAAGTCTACACTATCTGATCTATACACAGCAAACACCCTGGCCCCCACATACAGACACTGTAACCAAACCTGCAACCCCACAGGCAATACACCTCTACCCCGATAGAACGCGACCCGATATAACACAAATTCGGATATAACGTGGTAAAGCAGCGGGGAGCCCCGGTCCCTTTAAAGTGCCACCCGAGCCCCGCTGCTTTACCGGTTATATCAGAATTCGTGTGGAGCCCCGGGCCTTTTAAATCACCGGGGCTCCGGCAGCCGGGCTCGGGTGGTGATTTAAAGGGCCAGAGGCTCCAGCTGCTGCGGGGAGCCCCGGGCCCTTTAAATCCCTGCCCGAGCCCCGCTGCCAGAGCTCCGGAGGTGATTTGCGGGGAGCCCCGCAGCGGCCCTTTAAATCACCACCGGGGAAGCCGGTCCAGTCCGGCACGCAGGAATGGACCGAACCCGATATAACGCGGTCTCACCTATAAGGCGGTGAGATTTTTTGGCTCCTGAGGACCGCGTTATATCGGAGTAGAGGTGTACCACAGAATTGGGCCTTCTACAGTGCACTGTTGCAGTCCTCACACCATTGTATTTCCCCACACAGACATGTCTTGTCATTTATTTTAGCAGATGTCAGAGTTGGAATTCATCAAATTCAGTTAAAAAAACAAATAATCTGAGATGCAGGGGCCCACAGGTCACTACTGTGCTAAGCCCTTCAAGGGCTGTCTTGCTCTATACACGCACTGCTAAAGCCATGCCTTTCCAAGCGGGCTCTCCTCCCCTTTGAACTGCGACTCTGCAAAGCTGGGCTCCTCACTTGCCCTGTCTTGAATTAGCCAGGAGCTGGCTGTCATTACCTCCACCATGGCCTTGGGCAGCAGCTCTGCTCGGAAAAGCTGCAGCATGGCCTCCATGATGTTTTTCCAGCCCTCCCGCAGAATGTCGCCATGGCGATGTGCCAAGTGAAACACAGTCTTTGCTGCGATGTGGGCCTTGGGATTACTTCCAAAAACACTGGGCAAATTCTCGATAGACTGCAAGAGAGAAGAGTGGGTGGTGGTCTGTCAGCAAGACACATTTCCCTTTCAACACAACCCAGGATGGAGTGCATTGCGGACCCTGCTATGGGACAGATGATATTTCTAAGAAAGGCTATGGGTAAACTACAGCTAGCACTCAATTTTGGGGAAGGCTGGGATCAGCTGGCTTCTCTGACCCTTGCTGAAACACCAAGGGAAGACAGATTGCACCTTTGTAGCACTTCAGCGACAACACTACTATGCTGACAGGAGATGTTTTCCTGTTGGCACAGGTATTCCACCTACCTGAGAGGTGGTAGCTAGGTCAATGGGAGAATTCTCCTGCCCATACAGTGCTGTCTACACCAGGGGTTAGATTGGTTTAACTATGTTGCTCAGGTGTGTGGATTTTTCACATCCCTGAGCAACGAAGTTATACTAACCTAATTTCCTAGGGCAGACCAGACTTAAGACTTTGCACTACAGTAATTCATTCCAGGATCACAAAGCTCTTTACTAATACTTCATTCATCACAACTCCCCTGAGAGGCAGGAATTAACTTCTCTGTACCTCAGTTTCCCTTGCCGCCCTGGTCTACATCAGGAAATTAGGTTGGTATAATTACATCATTAGGGGAGTGAAAAATCCACCTCCCTGAATGACAGTTAAACCAATCTAACCCACAGTGTAGACAGCACTAGGTCGGTGGGAGAATTCTCCTGTAGACCCAGCTACCACTTCTCGGGGAGGTCGAGTACCTATGCTGATGGGAGAACCTTTCCCGGCAGCATAGGTAGTATCTGCACTGATGCTCTACAGAGGCACTGCTGCAGCATTTTAAGTCTAGACAAACCCTAAGTAACATGAGTATATAAGTGACTTGCTTAAGGGCACAGCTATTCCCACCCAGTCAATGGCAGGGCTGGGAACAGAACCATGAGTCCTGATCTGCAGTCTCCTGTGCTAATTACTAGATCACAGTCCTTTCATAAAGGCAACCTGTCCAACTGACCCACAGCTTACCAACACAGTGTGTTATGCCATTCCATCAAACTGATCACATGCTGCAAAACTGAGTCGCTCAGTAAAACAATATAGCAACCATGTGAATAAGGATCAGAACTAATATGTCCAATGTTTTTGAGGAGCCCACCAACCTCTCAAGAGGAGGAACACTATGCCAAGAAATAGTCTGTGTAAGTAAGGAACAGAAAAGCCAATAACTCTGTTCTACCCCCAAGGATAATTGAAAAGGGGTGAGAAAGATTGGACCAGTCAGAAGTGTGGCTCTTCAGATCTCATACTTGAAGCCCAGAAAACATGTGTCCCATCCCGTTATTCCATTGCTCCTGACAGAGGTCCAACTGCAAACTACTTGCTTTGGCAGAGACTGCTGTCAGTGCTAGTGACAAGAGCTGTAATGCAGGAGTGGGCTCTATGCGGCAAGCTTGGCAGGAAAGTTTCAGCTGCCTTTGTTCCATTTCCAGTGCCAGCCCCCATGTTATTACGACAGAACCACAGGAACAAACATCAGTGAGCTCTCACATCAAAATATGAAATTTGATATCCCTTGGCTTCCTCTGTGCACTGACCAGCCACATCCAACTCATCCCAACAGACAGCAACTCCAGAACACCCAGTAGGTGAGTGTCTAACTGCAGAGAAAGGCAAAAAGAATGACACTACTGAATCCACTGGAGAGCAAGGTGATCTTGCTTACAACCAGTTGATTCCTTGCAGAGACCTCTTCCATCTCTTCTCTCACAGCTGATCGCCAATATGGCGACATCTTGCAATTGCAGTACCTCAGAAAAGATACCTGATCACTAAAATGTTTGCCTAGGGAAGCAGCTAACAGCTCACCTAAACTAAAATGGTCTCTCCTTACTTTTTCACTGTTGCTCTTAGTCATCTTCTCAACCCCTTGAAACACTGCCTTCCACTCCATTATATTACCTCTCAAATATCTGTGGTCCCCAGGCTGTATGGAAATTTAGGGCTGCAGAATGTAATTGGTACAATTGGAATACAGCTAAGGATAAGATCCTATTTCTTGTGGAAGAGCCAGTGGCATTTTTCAGGACTAGAAGTCCTTGATTTTACATCTCCCACCAAAAGATGCACTTGCTAAACTGCAACAGAACTCGGGCTGCAGTGCGCCAAATTCCAGTCTCACAATTGAATGGGATGCAGCAAGCAATTGTTGGAGTCTTGCAGGGCTTAGTCTAGTAGTTTGGTACAATGCTCTAAAAGGTTGGGATCAGCAGATTTACATAATTCAACAGTTTTTTGATGGCATACACTCTCCTGCTTGCATTATCTACTGGCACTCTCCAAGCACTCCAGATCAGGACTATCAAGTGTTTCATCTTTATGGTCCTGATCTGTAGAAGAGGATGGAATCTAGAACATCCACCAATCTGATTTTACCTGCCTCTCTTTATAACCAAACTGGTAGGGTTTCATTGTTGCCATTGCCACAATGCAAGTGCCCCCAAACACACAACGCAACGCTTGCACCCTTCTTCTCCTTCCCTTTGTTTCTTGAAAAAAAAAGAAAATCCTCCAGCAACCCAGACTCATTTATCCCACCACGTTTCTGTAACGTCAGCCGAGAGAGAGAGTGAGTGTGTGTACGTACGTGTACTCTAGGAACTTCTTCAAATTCCTGCTCTATTATTTCCTAATAATATGTCTACACTGCACATGCTTTACAGAAAGGTGGAGTATATACACCACTCTAGCACAGGTATAAATACCAATGCAGATGGTGAGACTCTGCTTAGGCGAGTATAGACACACCAGAACCTTATGATATGTACCTCGCATGGCTCTCTACAAACCCAAGCAATGCCTTGTCTGTCTACACTGCTATTTTTAGCAGTGTAGTGTCCCGCTGTCTTCCTGCTGCCTGAGCTTTTCTCCACCTCAGGGAAAGACTCCAGCAGAGAGGAAAGGCTCTGGCAGAGGGAAGACAGAGGCAAAGTCTCCGGCAACTCTCCGCTGCTGGAGCCTTTCACTGCCACAGTTCCACCCTGCCAGAGCCCTTCACTGATGCATGTAGATACATGCTGCAGTGTGGATGCAGCATGCTTTTCACTGTGACGTGTAGCCACACATACCCTACATGCTGCTGCCAGTGGTATGCTGGGAATGTCTACACTGAGTAGAAACTTCTGTGATTCAAGCCACCTGACTAGTCTTCAGTCACAGAGGTTTGTTTTAGTTGCTTAAGTGTAAAGCATCCAGTCCAAACAGTTCCTTTTCTCTAGAAGAGGATCACCAACAATCCAAAATCCTCTTCACTGGATTCATTCCCAGGATCATCATCCTGCTCTCACCCAACAAGATTTCAGAGATCACTTGTCTTAATCTCTTTACTTCCCTGTACCAGTGCCTGATATCTTAAATGATCCTGTGTTTTTTTTATCTGTGCACACAGTGTTCTTCTCAATGCGTTCAACTTGTATGTTCATGAATCTTTCTTCAGCATCTTTGATCCTGGCATCAAAGTAGCATGCTGCTTCCTGATTCTGCTTAACATACTGCATGGTCCACCACTATCTACCAAATACAGGATACCTTGGAAAACTTGGGCCAAGACTTACTAACCTGGGCAAGCAGAGGAAACTTCAGCCAAAAATGTATATAGGGCACCAAGCCCTGAATGTGACTATCTTCAGAGAACACCTCAGATTCACTGGCTTTAGCACTTGGGTTGGGCTGACTCACCTGATCTTCTCATCAGATTCTGTATATCAAGGGTCAGAATTCAGAGCATTTATTTTACTAATCCCCTAAAACTGGGTAAATGCAGAGCCCCTGCCACAGCACTTTACACTTAAGCAACTGAACTACGGCATGTTTAAAAACATTTAGGTCAGAAAATGGCCATTCTCAGCACCAAATTACACTCAAAAGTTAAATTACAGGATGAACAGTTGCAATGTCTGCTCTGGTTTGGGATGTGTAAGGTCATGGCCTTGGTCACAGCAAGATGGACAGAAGTTTATTGAGTCTAAGTAAGAGGGACAGGGACTGCCACAGGTGATCCCTTCCCATCCCTGACAAAGCTGCTGCTGAAAATGCCACATAAGCAACACCTAGAAAGAAACAGCGTGGATATTAGGATATGCTGCTATGTGGAAACCCTACTTTATTACCGACAAATCACATTTCTCCATTCACTTGCATTGAAGAGTTCACTCCAGAAATCCCTGCACTGGGGCTGAAGAACAGGACAGACATATCTACAGGGGGTGTCATCACTTGTAAAAGTTAACCTCTCCAGAGCAGAGACTTTGAGACAGAAGATAATATATGACAAGTATTTGCTTCCAGACCCCACCCCACAAACTCACCTCGCTGCTGAGGGCAGTAAACTTGCAGAGAGAAATTATGAGATTGTCAAACACATCACTCAGGCCATAGTGTGCAGAAATCATTGCACATTTCCTGAAAGACAAACCACAAGCAATGTAACCAGGACAGCACAGGACGTTCCCAGTCTATAACCCCAGGTCAGGTTCCCTCTCCACTGACAATGCAGGACCATTCCCCTGCATCTCGCAACACCACTTCACAATGCATGCCAACGTTAGCAACCCACCTCTGTTCTGTGCTGCCACCCTCCAGCACAAACTACTGGCAGGTGCACAGAGATCCTGAAACCCTGATATTTCCTTGTGCTAGGTACAGAAAACAAACTGCAGCCTCAGAGACCCAGGCAGACAGGACCAAGGTCCCCAGTTCAATCCTTAACGTAAAAGTACAGGTGGTGAATTTGTTCATGGTGTTGAGATTCAAAGTTCAAAAAGGCCCCGGCTACAATGGTGTAATAATTGAGCTTTTAAAATGTGCTTACACCTAATTTGAACTCAGCTGTGACCAAAGACCCCCCAGTACAGACTGCTCTGTCTAGGGAGGGATTTTTGCCAGACCATGGAGTTTTGAGAACTAGGTTGGCCAAAAAACATGCTAGGACCTACCCTGGCCACAACTAAGTTTAAATGGTGCTCAATCACTTTAAATAATTTATTACAACAATGTAGACCAGACAAAGATTGAGTGGTACCAATCAAAAGCCTTTAAGGATTGAATCCACACTAGCCCAGGGAAGAGCACTAGCCAGTACTGTGGGGCTGCAGGCTGGGAGCAAAAGCTTCTATGTTGCTAGGGAAAGACAACAGCTGATCTTCTCTATGCACCCTCCAGCTGGCAGACAGGAGACACTGCCCAAAATGGGGATGATTTACATCCACAGACTGGAAGCCTACTAGATCTCTGCGGAGGAAGAGTAGGGCTACCTGAAGCCAGAGATAGCCTTCTGGATGATTGTTTCATCTAAGCTCTTGTCAAAAACGTAGGATAGGGCTGCAATGGTGGGGCCCCAAGTCATGGTGAAGAGATCATGATCGTAGCTTCCAGGAGGCACGTGCAGGAAGATGCCTTCATCAGTGGCACCACGATGCAGCAGTACATTCCATATGTAGTTTTCCTTCACCAGGCCCGTCTGCTCTTCTGGCATCACTATTTCGTCATTTCTAACAGGGATGGAAGGAAAGGTTAGGTTTGACTCAGAATGAAAAAATCTAACATTACCCCAGCAAGCAATAGACATTGATCAAAACTACAACTTATTTGTTGAAATCTGGAGATGCCTCTTGAGGAACTTCTAGGTACTTAGCACAGGTGGCTGCATGACCCTCCTTCTGGAGGAGACTTGAAAGGGAGCCCCAGACTAAGAAGTCTGCCTCACTTCCAGACCCAGTTGTTGCACGCAATCACGGATTGAAACCAGCTGAGAGTCAGAGTCACATCCTGCCTCCTCAAAGCTGTAATCCCCTTAGCTTCGAAGTGGCTGGGCCTGGATTTACCGAATAGGATAATTTCTGAGCTGTTATTAAAGCCTCCTCACCCACAGCCAACTCTGCGCACGAAAGGACCACAGCAGTCAGGAATTCCCCCAAGCAGTGGTCTGCGTGCCAGGAGCCCCAGGGATGGGGAGCAGAGACCAGGAGCAGACAGTTTCATGAGATAGAAAGGGACAAATGCAAAAGCAAAATATACAAGACCAAGACCTGGCCACACCATCTCAGGGCACCAGTGCAGCATCAGAGAGGGACACTGCATCTGGCACAACAAGTTCTAATACAGTTGGAAGCCTGACCCAGAGGAGTGGTTTCTTAGCTACAGTATTTCACATGTGCCGCTCTCACCCTGCCATTCCTTCACATGTTGATAGAAGCCATGTTCTTTTTAAAAAAAACCTTTATCTTAAGCCTTGCGGATTAAAATACCATGGCAGGGATCCAACTATATAAATCCAATTCAATAACTGTGACGAGCCTATTACCACAGCCCCAGATTGAGATGAAGATGGTCCAAGGCAGACTGGCACATGATCAGCAGAGTTCACTAATTGTGCTCCAGAGGTCTTACAGACCAGAACAGAGCCGCTATGCTCGGTGAGTACATGGAAATGCGATAGAGGGCTGAATACTTACTTGATGGCATGGTACATGTCCTCCAGTATGTCCTGTTCAAAGTCTTTGCCTCCATTCACCCCCTTCAAGTTCTTCCGGAATTCCTGGGAACATTACAGTTAGCACCAAGATGATTCTCTTAAGAATATTTCAAAAACGCTAACTTAAGTGGCACTCAGCAACTCAGAGGCCCATATGCAGCTTGCAGACTCCATGGGTCTGATTACTTGTCTGCTTGCCTTTTTTGGGACTCAAGAAACACTGACCATTACACTATAATTCAGGGAGTATTGAATAATCCTTTTAGTGGCATGGGAGGTTTCAGTAGCCTCCATCCCAGCTGCTGACAGGCAACATTACATGGGGATGGTCCACTAATGTTACATGTGATTAGCTTCAACTGTGCATCGGGATGACAAATACACCACCTCTGGAAGAACACTGTGCCATTACTTTGAGCACTCTGCACTTCCCCAGTTGCTTATTCACTTAGCATCACTTCTCTAATCGACTACTCTTTTTTCTATTGCTTCTTTTCACTCTTACTAGGTCTTATGATACAGCAGGTCACAAAACTGTGTTTACAGAGTAAAAACAATTCAAACCTTCCCTGCATGTTACTGCTTAGCTTTCATTTCTTCAGACTGCGTCACTCTTGTACTTAACCCCAACTCTACTGTTATTTACAGTACATTGAAGAGTGATGAGTGGGCCAGACAAAACAGAAGATGGGAGAAACAGCAAAAGAAAGAAAGCCAGAAAGGTGAAAACAGAACACAGTGCTATGAAAATGAAGAGAAGTAAGAGGCATCATAACAGTCACATGCAGGGAATCTGCTCTCACCTCTAGGGTCATTGGAACATTCTGCTTGCGGACATTATGGTTATGCTGGTCAGTGTTCAGCATAATAACTGCGTAGGCCAGGGCAAAGCAGGCGTCACTATTAGCAAATGGAGAGCCATTTGATTTCTGAAAGGCAAATACAGCCACAAGTCAGATCCATGGGCGAAAGATGCACACATGACCTGAGATCTCCATTTTCCTGCCAGCACAACAGAATCCAACAAATGGACTGGCTGAAAAATCAGAACTCTACTCCCAGCTTCTGGACAACGCCCCGGAAGAAGTCACTGTGGCATCCCCCACCTACACAGTAATGTTATAGAACACCGGGAGCTCAAAAGAGGTCAAATTCACACTGTGATATGACATGTCAAGGATGGCAAACATACAAAAGGGGTGAAGGGAGCATAATTTCTTCCCACCCAGTACGCACCCGCCAATGTTCTGTGAAGGCTTCCAATAGCCTATGAATCACCGGCGCCTCTCCTGGTAAGCGAAATGCTTCTAGGTAAAGCCGTAATGCTTCATCCAGTCTTAAGCCTTGGAAATTGAAAGTCCTGCAATAAGAGCGAAATGCTATGAGAGACTGAAACAGACAGGAGAAGAAGGCAGGGCAGACAAAACAAGGCATTTGTGCACTCAGAGATTTACTGACTAGAAAACACTGAGAATCAACATACAGGAATGAGCCATACCGACTGGTGGGCAGGGAGTGGAGGGAGATGGGCAAGAGTGGTAGGTGGAAGAAAGCGGAAGGAAAGGTCACCAATAACAGCCAGTGGATAGGAGCAAGGAAGGAGGAACAGCGGTCATAGTAGCTGGTGATCTGTTTAGCTCCTGAATCAGTTCCCCTTTGTGACCAAATACAAGAAACAGATACCAACTATGGAAAAATACTCACCCCACAAAGCTCTCCAGCAAGTCTATGTTCTTACGGTCACTCACAAACTCCCCAATCATCTTCTTGTCTAGCCGAGGATTTTCTCGCAGCCACTGGGCCACCTCATTGTTGTCCATGGGGATGGCCAGAAGGTTCTTCTCCTGCAGAAACTGTATCCCTTTCCTTGGCTTCTGGTTGAACTGCTCTGTGCCAGTTATCAGGAGCTGCAGGAGACAAGCTAACAGTTACCAGTTTGGCTGAAGAGCCCTACAAAGCGGAGAACCTCTCTATGGAGATTCACTTCCACTTTTTACCTACAGGTGCTCTTGGGGGTCAAAAGCCACAAAACAAAATTACTTCAAAGGCACTGTGAAAAATATGAGTGACTTCAGGACTGAATACATTGTTATACTTGTGTGATCTTGCAAGAGGGATCACCCAAAGCCAGATCTGCAGACCTCCCTCCTCAGAGACACAACAAAACAACAGTGACCAGCACAAACCACAAAAAGCTTCAAGTCTCAGCCAGTGACTAATTCTGATACTACAAGGTTATCCAGCCCTCCCCAACACTGTTATTCAACTAGAGCAGAGGAAGTAGCAAGATGAACTCTGAACAAATAGCAGGAGATCAGGGCTACTCCTCTACAACAGTAGCTACTTTTATCCAGTTTTTTTGGACTACTGGAATCTCATTCTAAGCCACTTACAGGAGTGCAGGTAGCAAGAGTCCTATGCACCTATGTGGCACGCAGAAGCAAGAGACACTGAGGGTACGTCTATACTACCCGCCGGATCGGCGGGCAGCGATCAATCCAGCGGGGGTTGATTTATCGCATCTAGTCTAGACGCAATAAATCGAGCCCCGAGCGCTCTCCCATCGACTCCTGTACTTCACTGGTGCAAGAGGCGCAGACGGAGTTGACGGGGGAGTGGCAGCAGTCAATTCACTGCGGTGAGTAGATCTAAGTATTCACGTAGCTGAAGTTGTGTAACTTAGATCGATGGGCACTTCAGTGTAGACACTATTTATGCCAATGGGAGGTGTTCTCCCGACAGTGTAGGTAATCCACCTTCACTGAGAGGTGGTAGCTAGGTCCATGGAAAAATTCTTCCATCAACTTAGCACTGTCTATACCAGGGGTTACATTGGTACATGTGGATTTTTCACACACCTGAGACACACAGCTAGGCCAGTGTAAATTCCTAGTGTAGACCAGGTGTTAGAGAAGTAAGAACTATAAAGAGTTCAGCAGGTGAGACAGGAACATCTGGAGCTCCATCAGGACAACCAAAACCAACTGAGAGTCTGGGACAATACAACATAAATGGATTATTTATTTATTTTTAAAAGACAACTCAATTCTGTTTATACTTCAGGACCAGGATTCTATAACAAAATGTCTACAGTGCAATAGAGCACCTGGTTAAGTAAGGGTTAACTGAAGGTTTTGTCGTGTTAAGAAAACCAAATGCACAAACAGCTACATGAACTTTACTAAAGCCCCAGAATAAATGTCAGTTCCCTGTTAGTTCCCATCACCATGAAACCGCTAGCAATGACCTAGTGAACTAAATTCACGACCATCCCAATTCTAACTCCCCTGGGCTCTCAGTACCTCAGAGCCCATCCCCCACTCCTCTCTATCCCCCCATGTATGCCTGTGTGAACTTTCTCAAAGTACAATGAAGTACACAGCTCCTGTAGTGTAGAGAACACTGGAATGCAGTCAGGATAACATCTGTTAATGATTGTGAAGTGCATAGATGCTGCCATGATGAAGCCCAAGTACCTACCTAGCCTACATAGCCTGAGGGGTTATCTTGATATGGAAAACCATTACTATATATTTGGAGCTGCAGGACAAAAAAAGGTGCCTATTCCAGACTGTAGGCACCTTTGACAGTTATCTATCAAAAAAAAATAATTAATCACCTGTATGATATATGGCTAATTAAACCTCTGAGCAAAAGATGTGATCCACCTTTCTTAAACAATGATCCTCAAACAACCTCCTCTCCCCAACAGCCTTAAAAAGCAGCCTTAGAGTGGGATGTGAAAGTCAACAAATTTGGTCCTTTTTAGACCAAGGGAGGAGAGCAAATTCCAAAGTGGAAAGGCCATTATAGAGAATATCCTGCCAACAATTCCCTCCCTTATAGCAGAGAGCTCGAACTACAGCTCTTACATTAGTTACGGGGAAGGAAGGGGGATCTGAGGTACTGCAAGACAGTCCCACACAGTTCAGAGCTGTCTAAATCAGAACCAATGCCTTAAACTCCACTCAAACCACAGGCAGCCAAAGCGGATCATAAGGCACAGATATAATGTGCTCACGGTGAAATACCCTGCACATATACATTTTGTGACAATTTGTTTCTGAATAGATGTAAGATAGCCCCAAGAAAGCACATTATTATCTAGTTGAGGTGACAAAGGCATGAATCACAGTAGTGAAATCTGCATTGGAGAGAAAAGGTTGCAGCCTTCTAGCCTGATGCATGTGTAAAAAGCCATCCTGGCCACTGCTGAAAGCCAACCCATTCAACCCAAGTTGCAACCACCCATAAAGGGATAGTTAAAATCACCGTATCTTTTGATTGCTTGCCCCAGCCTACCAACACCACCCTAATTCATCTAGACTGGGCCTCTGTCAATGAAATCATAACCCTGGCTTCCTCTCTAGGCCTCCTAACAGACTCATATATACGCTGAAAGTATGTATGCAGTACAACAGCTCAGCTACAGCGGTGCAGCTGTGCCACTGTAGTGCCATAATGTAGATGCTTCCTACATTAATGGAAGGAGTTCTTCCACTGATATGATTAATCTACCCCTCCAAGAGGTGGTATCTAGGTCTTCTGTCGACCTAGCTGGGTCTATAGTGGGGGTTAGGTCAACCTAACTACGTTGCATGATATTTTTCACAGCCCTGAGCAAGGTAGCTAGGTTGATCTAACTTAGGAGTAGAGGGAAAAGCCTGAGAGAGAGGGAAAACAAGACGGAACCCAGCAGAACTCCATATGAGCGCACCACTGAAAGAAGAGCAATTACCCAATGCTATCCTCTGGGATCTCTCTGAGCAGTCTCATCCACCCCCTCCTACCCTGGGGTCAGCAGGCATGTCAACACCATCTTGCTTTTGATATCAAAGACAGCTGATAGATCTAACACCACCTGCATGGATACCTGACCTTCATCCAACTTGAGGAGGAGACCAACTACTAAGCAAGTGCAGTCTCTATGCCATCCTCAGATTGGACCCTAGATTAACAAGGGTCAAAGAAATTGAGGCATCTAGATATGGGAAGAGTTGTCTTGTCACAATCTGTCAATTATCTTACCCATAAAGGGTACCCACAATTGGCCAGAATGCCATTTTCAAATGGTGGCTTCTTGAGACCAGGCTGTACCAATGCTTCGGTAAGAGTAGCAAGCAATCTACCCTTCTTGAAGAAGATGATGACCATTTCCATTAACATTAGGCCCAGCAGTTTCCCCAATGGCCTCCAACAGCCTGGAGCACCATGGATCCAGAGTACAAGTTCAGGCATGAAATTTCCCCAACACTCCAGAGCACTACCAGAGTGAAACTCAAGTAGACACAAAGTAATATCTATTCCCTTAAGACACTGTCCTGCCTCCTTTGATGCAGTTTGGTCCTCAGTGTGTGACTACTGAATTTATTATACACACAAAGGTCTCAAATGAACATTCTAAAGGTTTGATTAATCACAGCAAGCCAAAATGTAAATACTTTATGGAGGAAGAAACAGGACGATGTCCGGAGAACCAATTTACAGTTAACAGACCGCACCTTCTTTTTGCTCTTAATTTCCATCAGTTCCTGAGTTCTGGGCAGGAGGCAGGAAAACCGAGTAGGCTTCCTGGGGATGTTCTTCTCAGCTAGGAAGGAAAGTGAAAGTGATGATTCTGTCTTAGAGAGTGCTGTGCTAACCGTGACTATCTGTTTTTGCTACAAGCAAAGGGGACCCACCAGTTCCAACCCTCTCCACACATACAAACATCGACAGTAGCCAGGCTCTGCCAAATACACCACATCTAAAGTAACTTGAGCATCCCATGCACATGTGTTTCTGGCTCTGAGCAGGTTCCGTTAACACGTATAGCACAGTCCACTATAAAGTATTAATACCAAAGAACATAGGTCTGAACCATTCCCTGCATGCAGATGTTCAGTCAGAGTCAAGGTCCTGTGGGGACTATTACCTGCATCACTTCCTCCCTCCAAATCCTGGCAGCCCTGCTTCATCTGGTCAGCCATAAGACACCCACTGGTGGGCGGGCATGCCCCGGACAGCTCCGTGACCACACTGGGAGGTTTCCCTTCACTCAGCACTCTCTCATTGTCTGTGGGCAAAAGAGAAGGCAAGAGAAATCAGCAATAGAAGATGGACAAGGGCTTCTGAATAATCATAATGCCTTTTACTTTAATTGCTGTTCACCACTTGAAGGCCTTTGCATGTCTTACCAAAAGAAAAGACCAGTTACTGACCTTATAGGAACTGAGAGACTTTGAGATGTGTTGCCCTCATTGATTTTGTGATCCAACTCCTTCCCTGCTCTGCAGAGTCCTGCTCCTCTGGGATGCTGTATTGACAAAGGAACTGAGGGGCAGCTGGATCCACTCTGCCCTTTATATTCTTGGGTGAGTCAGTTCCTTCTCTAAGATTCTGTATTGGTGAAGGAACTGATGCATCCACGGGTATTAAGAGCAGAATGGGTCTAACTGCTCCTCAGTTCCTTTTCCAATACAGAATCCTAGAGGAGCAGGACTTTGTGGTAGCAGGGAAGAAGGGCAGGTTGAGGAATCCGGGTTGACAACACATCTCAAAGAACCTGTAAGATAGGTCACCATTTTTTCAAGTGGTTTTCCACACAGATCCCCCTCTTGGTGAGTAACAAGCAATTATCAGTTTGGTTGGAGATGCGTGCTAGGAGCCTTGCTTAAAACAATAACTGCAAGACAAAATAGGCATCTGATGTGGAGGCCTCTACCAAAGTATAGTGTTTTTTAAATGTCTGAACCAAGCTCTTTATAGCTGTCCCAGAAATTTCAAAAATAGGGACATTCTTCAAACTGGCAGCAGAGGCTGCATTAGGTCCCGTGAAATGAGCTCTAATGGGAGTAGGTAGATCTAACCTGGCTAATTTATAATATGTCCTTATACAATTGGAGAATTCTACATGAACCTTAACACCCTCTGCAAAGATCACAGTCAGTCCAGGTGAGTTCCTGAATGATTTTGTCTTGGTAAGGTAGTATGACAATGCCCTTACTACATCATGCATGTGAAATTTAGCTTCCAGGGGGTTGAACGAGGCTTGGAGGATGAATAAATTGGTTCGTATGGAACCCTGAAACAACTTTGGGCAAGAACTTGGGATGAAGCCTAAGAGTGACCCTGTTCTTATCAAACACTATTATAAGGGGGACCCAACAGGCAGGTGTGACTCTCCCCTACCTGAGCTGATGTAATGGCTACTAAAAAGGAACTCTTCATTGTAGGTGGTAAAGGGAACACGTTACTAAGGGCTCAAAGGAGAGACATCAACACATTAATACTATAGTGAGATCCCAAGAGGGTGAGGTCTCCCAAACTGGGGGGAAAACACGAGTTAGGCTCTTAAGGAATCTAGCCACTGTAGGATGAGAAAATACAGTGTGGCCAAAGATGGGGGGGATGTGCAAATATTGCTGCTAGTTGTATCCTTCTGGAATGAATAGAAGTCCCAACTGTTTCAGGGATAAAATAATCCAATATTGTTTAAATGAGTGTTGTCAAGGGAGACAGCTTGTGGTAAGATGCCTATATAGAACACCCCTTCCACTTAGCTTTGTAACTCAGTCTAGTTGAGGCTCTCCTGCTTTAGAGAACATTCTGAGCTACAGCTGAACAGCTTCTTTGGACAGATATCAGCCAGCCAGCATACAGGCTGTCTGACATAATGATGCTGGGTCAAGCTGTAGGATGTGACCATTGTTGTGCAAGACTACGTCAGGCACAGTGGGCAAAGTGACTGGGGGCTGCGATGAGAGGTTCACTGGATCTGAATACCAGAACTGCCTTGCCCATGCCAGGGCTATCATGATCACTGATGCAGCAACTTGCCTCATTTCCTCAGTATCATGAGGATTGGGAGGGGGAAATCACATTGGTTCTGGTATTCAAAGGATGAGAAAGGCAAGTGACAGGGAGCCTAGACTGGAGACCACTCTAAAGCAGATCTGTCCATTCTTGTTCTGAACTGTGGCAAACAAGTCTATTAATAGGTATACCACTTGCAAAAGATTCTGTGTAACAAATGGTTATTTGCCTTATAGTAATTGTGGTACTTCGAGAAGTTGTCATCTGTGGAGATCCCACTGTAGGTGCACATGCATGCGACACTGAAATCTTTTGAATAGCAGTATCTGTTGGGCTGCGCCCGCACCGTGCATACCCTCCCACTTGAGGGCATTAAGGACAGAGCAACCACAACCATCCCTCACTTCCTTTACTAATTCAGAGTCCCAAATAAAGAGGGTCCACACAGATGACACCACCTCAAAGAACCACAATCACTATTAGGGAAGTAACCCCTCCTTTTCTTAGAAAATTTGACAGGGTAGATCCCACTGTAGGTGACTGCTCAGCAGTGCCCTATCTGGAAAGTGTGACTGAGGAGCCTTCATTGTCACTAACTGAATAGTGATGGAAACACTGCTCTGCCAAATTTTTGCATCTGATCTTGCAGCCAGATCAATGGCTTAGTGTTTAAATCAAAGAAAGGGGATTACTCCACATACTGCCTTGCAAATTTTGGATACGGAATGCATAGGTTGCAGTTTTTGCTCTTGTGGAATGAACTTTTAATATTTGAAGGGAGAGGAATATCATAGAATACCATGTGATACATTGATATACACTATGTGATCCGTTTTTACGTTCTCTGGGAAGAAATGGCTTGACCTTTGAAGCACCAGAGATGGCAATAAAAGTACAGGGAGATAGTCTGAAAGACTTTGCCCTCTGAAGATAGTATAGCAAGTCCCTTGAAATGGCCAAGATATGAAGTTCAGTCTCTCCCAGAGAGAAATGAGGTTTTAGAAAATAAACAGATACATTACAGATTGGTTTGAATGAAAGCCTGACAGAGCCCTCTGTAGAGTCCTTTCTTGACTACAATTATGCTACACAAGGGGTGAGAGAGGGTACTTAGGAAATGACTCCCTACTGTGTCATGATGGGGATTAAGAGGAGTATACCTCCTCTAAAGATAGGCCTGTCCGTGTGCTGTGGTTCTGCTGTATCCTCCCTAATTGGGTAGGGGCTGATGTTGGTACCAGAGATATCTCCTTCATCTGCTATACAGATGATTCAGTAACCATTGGCTACATTATCAACATCTTCAACCTCTCGAGAAGAAGTGACTCGCGTACCAGTTGTACAAATGGATCATTCAAGACTGAATATGCTCTAGGTACAGACCTGGGCAGTACTGAGGTGCTGGGTACTTTACAAAGCATGGGCCATGGGTTTAGTAGGTGCCACAGGAACCAAAGAGAGCTATGTCAGGTCATTAGTTACCCTTCTGTTGAACCCAAGACACGTCGGATGCCTGCAGACTCTTGTGTCTTGACTTGGTAGGCAGCAAAGAGGGTGACCTATGCCTCGACTGATCTCTGGAGTGGTGCTCCTGCCTACTTCCATCTCAGAGTGACACTGGAATGAGGAAGACAACTGGGGCCTCTTGGTTGACATAGCACAGGAGTTCAGGATGGAATCTTAGCTGACTAGGGTGCTCATGGAGTGGGACTGACCAGAGAAGCGAAGTCCAGCTGCGTCCTTCCTTTTGGCATCCAGAGGATTGCATAGATGGTCTAGCTTTCTGAGGCTACTTAGAGAAGGAATGATGTATGGAACATCACTCAGGGATGTGTCCTTCTCCTAGGCAAAAAAAGGCACTTGGAGTGGACTTTTGCCAGAGTCAGTAAATGGCACTGATTCTTCACATGAGGGGCAGGAGGAGTGGAATCCATGTGGACAATCTCTCAAAGAACAGTATGTTTTCAAAGAAAGGGCAACATGCTCTAAATGGGGCAACAGCAGCAGCAAGGTTAGCGCACATGCGCATATACACAACATTAAACATTTTGTCCTAAAGGATGCCACAGATGGACTGTAGTGTTCATGGAACAGAAGAGCATTCCAGAGATGTCTCTAGAACCATTAACAGATAAGGCCATGCCTCCTGCCCTCTCCAGGCTGTATCTTGGGACAGACAGTGAGCTCGATCTCCTTGATCTCAGTTGCCAGTGACTAAGTCCCTGAAGTGGAGTGGTCTGACATCAAGGTTTTAAATGCTAAAGAGTATTGGAAAGCATGAAACTGGAAGAATGGAAATACATTATTTTGGAGTTCACTAGCTGAGTGACCAAAAGGAGGTATACAAGTGGGTTTAGAATAAATCTAGGGCTGAACATGGAGATGTTAAAAAGAAAGGTCTCACTGTTGCTTGGTTCTTTGGTGCTACTGGCAGTTTCTGTGCTGGGTTTGACCACTTCCTTCTCCTGTTGGTGGATGTTGCTCAGCACTTTGGCTTGGCAGTGTGCTTCAGTGCTATCAATCACTGTCAGCAATGCTTCAAGAGACAGCAGGTGAGTAGTGTAAAGTTGTCCAGAAACTGGAAAGGCATTCTGGGAAATCAAACAGTTGAATGTCAGATGGTCTCAGATTTAACACCTTTCAAGGCGAGTTTGTCCCAGTGCTCTGAAAAAGTAAATGTACAATACAAAACCCCCAAAACTTTCCATATAACTCTGAAACATATAACTTGAGAACTCCCACTCATTTTCCCCCACTTAACCTTACTGTACTCCTTCCACTTCTCTGATCTTCCAGAACCTAAGTGGTCTTTCTAATCCATACAAAGCTGTTCAAGCAGAACCTTTCATCCACCACCATCTGCTCCTCTCCCCACCTCTCAGACTCTCTGCCATCCCTCCTCTAGAGGGACTTTCCTCTCCACATCCCCACCTACACCTCCCTCCCAGCCCTGTTCTAGCTCATGTTCTGAAGTCTGCAGCACTAGCTGAAGGGAAGGGCAAAGCAGAGCCTTTTCAGGACCTTGGAGAGCAGTTTGGTGAGGTCCTCAAAGAGGTTAGAGCAGTAGTAGTCACAGTCATAGTTTATATAAAGCTCAGTGACAAAGCTGGGGATTCTCCACAGCTGAACAATGGCCTCCAGGGCCATCTCCTTCATCTCATAGGGCATCTTGGGGTTCTCCACAGTGATGATCTCCATCAGCTTCTTTATGTACATCTGGCAGAAACACAGGACAGCTCAGGTTAGGGGAAGAGAAAGGAAAGCAGGACAATACTGAGCTTTCAGGGCTATTTAAATGGAGATTTACGAGTTCCCCTTTCACATGTGATTCACAGTGTGAAATCCTCCACATTTAGTGAATGCTCACTCCAGTGGAAGAACCTCTTCAGGTTCCTGTACATTTAGTAACTTCATACACATTTCAACAGCAAACTCTTAAGGGTGTCACTGAATTATTTTACCATTCAGCGGACTAAGATTCACTATTCCAAAAAGCTAGAGGGAAGGCAAGGCAATGTGTAAGTTTCAAAAGCACTTTACTGTTTTAATAGGAAGGGACCCAGAAAAGCCCTCAGAACCCCTCCCATACAGCTACTAACACCTAATTAATTGGTACTTGGACTGTACCCTATTGAATCAGTGTATGTTGCCACCCCATTCTGTATACCCCTACATGTCAAGCAGTTATTACTGACCTATCCCATGGGGACCATGTGGTTGTATTTCAAAAACTCACCTCCAGTTGGAACTTCAGGTGCTCTCTCATGCTCTCGAAGAGAAGGAAGCATACCCTGAGGGAGGCTGCATACAGATTGAGCCGCTCCACACTCAGCAGCTGAGCAAGGAACAGAAACATAAGGAGTGAGAGGTCAAGCCACACTATCTGCCCAGGTGAGTAGTGCTACTGTTGTATCACATAACAGATCTATTTCTGGAAGCAATCCCCTCCCCGTCTCAAGGGCTCTCCTGCTGTGAATGGCAGTGGCCATGCTTCAAACACTCCTCCCCTGCTTTCAGGGAACTCTAATTTCTCCTTCAACTGCTACACTTGCTCTTTTGTAGAGCATGCATATCTCCTCTAAGCAGAAAGCTAGGTGACTAGCTACCTCCAAGGATGTCACTCTAAAGAATGATTAAGTACTTATTTCCAAGTCTCCACCTGCTGCCAGACTGGTCACTTACCATTTGGGGATGCAGCTCAAAACCCCATTTTCCCAGGCCAAGCCACAGAGTGTTGTCACAAAGCTACTGAGACAATGGAACCAAGCCAGTCACAACAGCTCATTAAAATCAGCTTCCTCGCCCTCTACCTTGAGGTAAGAAAGGCAGGGATCAAGAGGAGACGTTTCTGCCCTTCAGAACCATTTGAGAATTTGATGGAGAAATGGTGAGGGGAAATTATCTGGTACCAGTTTGGGGCTTAGGGGTGATCCAACAGTGGTATCTGCTGCATGAGAGGAAAAGGATTCAGGAAAGCTGGGGGAGGAAAAGTGCCCATGTGTCATCTTCTCCTACATACAACAACAGTAAACTAATAGACTCTTGCATAAATTCTTATGAAGACCTCTTTCTATCAGAGACACTCTCTCACCGGGAGAGCAACCAGATTTGTGATCCTACATTACAGCTAACCTCACCTCAGTTTCCAAAATAAAAGTTCTAGCCAAAGTGAGCTGCGGGGGAGGTGTGTTGGGTTGCCATAATTCATACCTGGTACACAGGGAAACTCACTAGCACAGCATACCCAGTGGCGAAGCCCAAACTCACTTGAAAAAGGTGCCGGCACAACTCATCTTTCAAAAGCCCCAGCAGAGACTGGCAGTTTGCAACAGGGGCAGACTCCAGAGCAACAGTGAGCAGCTGCAGCCCCATGTGGATCATCACCTCCGAGTTGTGGCGGTCATGTGGATTAGTGAGGGAGATGAGGAAGCGGAACAGCTCTCGGATACAAGGCAGGCCGTAGGGGACCAGCGCTATTCCTGAGGAAATAAGAGCTGGTAAGAAAATGTAGACCCTCTACAAGTTTGCTCCCATCTCTTACCGATGCCCATCAAGAAGTATGGAACAATTTGTTACAGAAAATAGTTCAGGAACAGGAACTCATCTCCCTGCTCTCAAGCCGTGAAGTAGCACAGACAGAGGCAGAAAGGACACTGACAGTATTCCAAAGCTCTCACCTTCTTTTTGGGAGGACTGTGTAAAACGTACTCCTCGGGGATTGACATAGTCCATGTCATGAACAGAGGCAGAGTCAGAATGTTCTGTCACAGATGTGCACTCTTCTAGCACCTCTGGGATAGACTCTACTGAGGCTGACTGGGTCTTCTCCACCCTGAGACCTTCATTCTTCATTCATACCAGTCATTTAGGAAGGAAGGAAAAAAACAGAGCAAGTATAAACTAATACTGCACCAGCTGCAGGTGAGGCTCATTCTCTTTAGAGTGGCCAAAGTAGCACTGGGCACTCATGAGGGAGCAAAGTAGAACTCAAAATTCGGACAGAAGAAACCTTGTACATCACTTATAGTCCATCCCCCACAACCAATGTGGGAACACCCTCTAATGTGTCTCTCAGTCTGCCTTAGAAATGTCCACAATGATAGTGCTTCAGCAGCTTCACTTGGAAGATGCTGCCACAGCCCAATCGATCTTACTGCTAGCAGGGCAGATAAAAACTGATTAAAAAAAGTAAAAACTGTATTTTTAAATTTAACACAGGTTTAGTTTTTAAAAATAAACCTATTTAAAATTACATTTGAAATTGGCAATCCATATTATGGCCTAAATTCATTAGAATCTATCAGTGGCTGAAAGCCCATACTGTTGCACGGGTGTAATTCATAAAATCATGGGTGTAACAAAGCCCAAAATGGCTAAGAACTTAAAAGTTGGATGGTAACACACCACAGATCCCAGTGATGATTGAACCTGGGGATATTCTGAACAAAAAGGGCTATCAACAATCCTTGTAGCTGTTTCCATCACATCACACTGGCTCTACTGACATTCTAGGGTTCAGAGTGACACACACACACAATCCTGGAACCTTCTTATATAGATTAAAATCATATAAATTACACACAAAAATAATATTAAGCAGTACATGTTTGTTGCCAAGTCTTAAAGAAACCACTGAAGACACAGTTAAGCGCCTGGAACCAGTTTGCTGAAATGCTAAACCAACATTTGATGGCATTTTCCTCTTCTAAAAGTGCAGAGAAAATATTTTCTTCATTTCAGTTTATTCAACTAGTTCAGTTCAATGACTAGTTCAGTCAAAGTTAAGAAACCAATTGGGAGTTGAAAAAGCAAGAAATCTTGTTTTCCTCTTCCAATCTATGAATAAAACTAGATGTGAGAGGGTGAGATCTACTAGTTCTACAATCGTGAAGGACATGGTTACCAAAAAGTCAGTTCAATTCACTAACTACAGATTATACTTCCTTTGTTTAAAAAAATCAGTTAATTCTAAATGCAAAATATGTTTTGAAAAACTTTTTGATAAAAACTTTTCTTCTTATGAATTCAGCACCTTTAAGGTTGCTCTGTTTAATTAAAAAAAATTAAAATGCTGTTTGCGCATTTAATTGAATTTGAATTTCCGCAAATTGACACAAATCACAAGTAAAAAACTTAATCTTCTAGTAAAGAAATGCATCGTTCACCATTTTCTAACAATCAAAAAGGAGAAATTAAGAGTCTGAATAAATGCAAATTAAGCTATAATTGCTTAAATAAATGTATATAGATATAGTGTATCCTAGTTAGCAAAAAGAAGCAAACAATTTAGTGTAAAGGTTATCTTTAGTAGCAAATCAACATGTTTTAAAGGTTACCAGCTAATGAGGATGAACCTTTCTTTAGGAAAATAACTAAAATATACAAATGCAAAACATGATTAAAATCAATCATTTAAACCAAGGTTTCTGACTTGAGGACTTGCATCACTTAAATTTAAATCAATCTACCTCGGCCTGCTAGTAAGTTTTTGATCTATATAAGTACATTTTTCTTTTTAATTGCACCACATTATATCTAATCATACTCCCTGACTAGGCAAGACCAAATTCAAGTGCACATGACCCAAGTAATCATCAAAAACTCCTCTACAAATTAAAAAATTGAGGCTGGAAAATTATTACTGAAGACAGCAAAAAGGGATCACAGCAAACTTCAGCCATCTCTGCCTTTATTAGTTACTCCTTTAATTAAGGCTGGCGTAATGGAAACATTGGAAAGGATACAGCTACATAGAAACTGGACCACATAGTTACCCTTTAACAGTAGCCAATGCCGGATAGTCTTGAGGAGAGTATGAACACATAATGCACCCAAACGATGCAATTCTCTGCTATTAAGGGAAATTTCTTCCTGACCACTTTCTAAGCTCCTAACTATAGCATAGCAGTAGTGACACTGACCAAAAGGAGGGCACGAATACAGACACTAGATCTCCTGGGTTTGGAGTTGCCTCATCTGCATAGGATCATGCTCATACCTGGGGTTCAGGCTGGTGTGGATGCTCAGTGGCACTGGGCTCACTTGAAGGTATTGCTGCACTAAATCCCAGAGAGTTGACCTGGTCCAAGTCTGTAAGATCTTCCTTGGAGGTGGTTTGGGAGGACAACTCCAAGCCACTGTCTGTAGCAGGACTGACTGCAGAGGAGGTGTTTTCTGAATTTCCAGATGAGATGGGAGAAGGAGCATCAATAAAAGTAACTCCATCTACTGAGAAGAAACAGCAGCAACAGGTTAGTGGAACTGTGACACCGCCACTCCCCCATCCTTATCATTACATGTCGAAACAGCAACAAGTAATTGCTTTAACCTGGGTCATGCTGCACCACAAATGAACTCTCAAAATGACATAAGAATGCAGAAGACTCAGATAAATGAGGTATCAGCAAGTCAAGCAGATCACAAGGAGAAAGACTGGCAACTCCCTGTTATCACATAGTAGATGGAATCTAGCAGACCTAGTGAACAAATGAAGACCATATTCAAACAGAATGCATACATTTAGCTAAAATGGGAGAGGGCAGGCAAGGTTGTTGTACTTGACACAATCTGGAGGGGAAACAGGGCAGAGCAGATGCCAGGAGGGATATCTATCAGAGACTGGAGGCCCTGCAGGAGATGGTCCTTTCCCTGCACCCCAAGTTGTCTGAACTGGAGGTACAGACTAGCTTGTGGGGAGGCAGGGCAGGAGAGACAGACACTTCCTATGTCACATCCACAAGGGGAAAGACCAGAGGAGCTCCAGTCGGAAGGCTTTAAGTACATTAAAATGGCTCCTCCCCTTGAAAGCATCGCTGGACATTGAGGGACTTTAAGGGAGGACTGGTTGGAGCATCCAGAAAAAGGAAGAACGAAGTCTAGAAGTGACATCAAGGGACCTTCCGTATTCTGCAGTTGAGGCCAATATAGGATTGCTGTACAACTGCAGCTGTGCTGCTGTAAGGTCTCCGTGTAGCCGCTCTATGTCGAGAGCTCTCCCGTCGACATAATTAAACCACCCCCAGTGAGCTGCAGTAGCTATGTCGGCAGGAGAGCATCTCCCGCCGACATAGCGTTGTCCACACCAGCGCTTTTGTTGGTGACATTTATGTTGGCCAGGGGTGTTTTTTTTCCACACCCCTGACTGACAAAACATTTTGCCAACAAAAGTGCTAGTGCAGACAAAGCCTTAGTGCGTACCAGCAGGGTCTGCCTGGGACAGTTAGAGCGCTTTAAAAATCACACCCATCTAATGCATTTTGCCAGCACTGTATAGACAAGCTTTTATACTCCTGTCAAAACCAAAGTTTGCATTTTAGTTTTTCAATATTGCAACAATCCCTCTTGACTTTAAGGACCCAAGTGCAAAACCTTGCTCACCCAGAGAACTTACTCAATCTGAGTAGTCCCCTTGACTTCTCTGGCGCTACTGGCACAAGTGAGTGCCCTCCAGGAGTAAGAGTTGTACAACTGGGCCCTGCATCACTGAACCCAACTATTTACTCCTCAGTAGCTACCCTCTGAGCAACATGTTAATCTGGCAAGTTTGCATCCTTATCAAAACCAGTCCAAATCATTCCTTCTCCCAACCTATCCAGGCCAGGTATGAAAAAATGCTCACAGTAAACAATTATTTGGCCGATTTATTTGGTCCCTATGGTCTGCTCAACTCTAAAGAGCTACAAAAAAACAACAACAAAGCTTCCCAAATCCTAATTCTTCTCCTGTTTTCAGTAGAAACATTCCAGAGAATTGCATACATGAGAAATTGGCCTGACTCACCTAGAATCTATTTTGAACACAGACCCTTGTATTGCTTCCTGCTCCAAATGTCTATGGTTAGAATAGCAGGAGGGTATACTACAGGACAGAAGGTTGATTAATGTTCTCAGGAATTACATTACCTCAGTCTAGCGTTATTGCTGAAGCAGATGCAAGAGAAACTGTACACAATTATATATTACTCCACTGCTCAGAAGCTAATTTATTCCCCCTAGGTTGACCATGTCTGAAATGTGGCATACAAGTAGTGGACTGGAACCCCTGGCAGTTTTTGTGCTTCCCACACTGGAAAAGGCAACATCAACATTGTTCAACTGTTTAGACCTTATAAGGGCTTCTATTTAGAGAAGTGCCTGTACTACATGAACTTCCTTCTTCAGTTAAGAACTACCTAAAACTGTTCCTTGGTGCAGGATGGAAAATAATCCTGGGACTGGATGGACTTTTCCCACCTTTATCACTACTAGAGAGCAAACCTTGAAGGGACTGGTGACTTCTGTTCTTTATTCCTGCTGTTTTTTCCTCTCCATAAACAGAATTGGAGTCCATTTCTAAACTCTCTCCCTGAAACTATGTGAAAGGATGGCAGATTAAAGGAGAAATGAACTAGACAGATATGGAGGCATTTAGAGGGGGTGCTCGCACCTTTTAAGGGAACATGATGGGTAGGAGTCTATTTATTTACTTTCTATTCTTAACTTCATTTCAGCATATGACGAGGATGCAGATCCACACTGATCCATGCTTCCCTTCAACTTAATCAATAACTGTCATGAATATATAGAGTACCAAGATTAAATGAAAAATCCAGGGAAACAACATCTAATAATTTAGGACACAAGAATACAATATGCCTTGAAATAAGAGAAGGATGCATTTTCACCTTGCTCTACAGAATCTATAAAACCTGGCAGGTGTCTCAGATTCCAATGAAGTATGTTGGCTTGGCAAGAAAACTGAGTAGTAACTTTTGAAAGGAAAACAATTTAAAATAGAAAGGCAAGAGTTATTCCTGTAATTCCTCAATCAAATTGAGTTTCAGCAGAAACCAAATGAACATGAGAAGAGTCAGAACATTTTCATCATCTCCACATGTCAGGTGGATGCTCCAGAATCTAAGTTTTCATTTAAGACAAACCCCCTTCACGGTTGTAAGGGAAAACCTTGAAAATGTGAAGCAAGTACTGAAAGTCACATTGCAGAGCATGTTAACAGAATAAATGAACGAGCCAGAGTTAAAAGAACAGGAGTACTTGTGGCACCTTAGAGACTAACAAATTTATTAGAGCATAAGCTTTCGTGGGCTACAACCCACTTCTTCGGATGCATATTGAGTGAAACATATCGAGGAGATATATATACACACATACAGAGAGCATGAACAGGTGGGAGTTGTCTTACCAACTCTGAGAGGCCAATTAAGTAAGAGAAAAAAAAACTTTTGAAGTGATAATCAAGGTAGCCAAGTACAGACACTTTGATAAGAAGCAAGTGTGAGAATACTTACAAGGGGAGATAGATTCAATGTTTGTAATGGCTCAGCCATTCCCAATCCCTGTTTAGCCCTGAGTTGATTGTGTCTAGTTTGCATATCAATTCCAGCTCAGCAGTCTCTCGTTGGAGTCTGTTTTTGAAGTTTTTCTGTTTTAAGATAGCCACCCGCAGGTCTGTCATAGAATGGCCAGACAGGTTAAAGTGTTCTCCCACTGGTTTTTGAGTATTATGATTCCTGATGTCAGATTTGTGTCCATTAATTCTTTTGCGTAGAGACTGTCCGGTTTGGCCAATGTACATGGCAGAGGGGCATTGCTGGCACATGATGGCATACATCACATTGGTAGATGTGCAGGTGAACGAGCCCCTGATGGTATCCCCGATAATGCCACAGCTAACCTGGTGGCTGAACTCTGTGACTTTGTCCTCACCCACAACTATTTCACATTTGGGGACAATATATACCTTCAAGTCAGCGGCACTGCTATGGGTACCCGCATGGCCCCACAGTATGCCAACATTTTTATGGCGGACTTAGAACAACGCTTCCTTAGCTCTCGTCCCCTAACGCCCCTACTCTACTTGCGCTACATTGATGACATCTTCATCATCTGGACCCATGGAAAAGAAGCCCTTGAGGAATTCCACCATGATTTCAATAATTTCCATCCTACCATCAACCTCAGCCTAGATCAATCCACACAAGCGGTCCATTTCCTGGACACTACTGTGCTAATAAGCGATGGTCACATAAATACCACCCTGTACCGGAAACCTACTGACCGCTACACTTACCTACATGCCTCCAGCTTCCATCCAGGACACACCACACGATCCATTGTCTACAGCCAAGCTCTAAGATATAACCGCATTTGCTCCAATCCCTCAGATAGAGACAAGCACCTACAAGATCTCTATCAAGCATTCTTAAAACTACAATACCCACCTGCTGAAGTGAAAAAACAGATTGACAGAGCCAGACGAGTACCCAGAAGTCACCTCCTACAAGACAGGGCCAACAAAGAAAATAACAGAACACCACTAGCTGTCACCTTCAGCCCCCAACTAAAACCTCTCCAGCGCATCATTAGAGATCTACAACCTATCCTGAAAGATGATCCTTTACTCTCACAGATCTTGGGAGACAGACCTGTCCTTGCTTACAGACAACCCCCCAACCTAAAGCAAATACTCACCAGCAACCACACATCACTGAACAAAAACACTGACCCAGGAACCTATCCTTGTAACAAAGCCCGATGCCAACTCTGTCCACATATCTATTCAAGTGACACCATCATAGGGCCTAATCACATCAGCCATACCATCAGGGGCTCGTTCACCTGCACATCTACCAATGTGATATATGCCATCATGTGCCAGCAATGCCCCTCTGCCATGTACATTGGCCAAACCGGACAGTCTCTACGCAAAAGAATTAATGGACACAAATCTGACATCAGGAATCATAATACTCAAAAACCAGTGGGAGAACACTTTAACCTGTCTGGCCATTCTATGACAGACCTGCGGGTGGCTATCTTAAAACAGAAAAACTTCAAAAACAGACTCCAACGAGAGACTGCTGAGCTGGAATTGATATGCAAACTAGACACAATCAACTCAGGGCTAAACAGGGATTGGGAATGGCTGAGCCATTACAAACATTGAATCTATCTCCCCTTGTAAGTATTCTCACACTTGCTTCTTATCAAAGTGTCTGTACTTGGCTACCTTGATTATCACTTCAAAAGTTTTTTTTCTCTTACTTAATTGGCCTCTCAGAGTTGGTAAGACAACTCCCACCTGTTCATGCTCTCTGTATGTGTGTATATATATCTCCTCGATATGTTTCACTCAATATGCATCCGAAGAAGTGGGTTGTAGCCCACGAAAGCTTATGCTCTAATAAATTTGTTAGTCTCTAAGGTGCCACAAGTACTCCTGTTCTTTTTGCGGATACAGACTAACACGGCTGCTACTCTGGAGCCAGAGTTACACATTATAAACTCGCATATGAAACATGTGGTTTTGTTTAGTAGTGCATGTTGTACAGCTGAGCTGGTTTTTTTGAAAGACAAAAGGCAAATATAAAAAATACACAAACTTCTGCTACATAAGATAAATGGACTCTGGCATCAACTTTGCATTTCCCCCCTCCCTGGTGTATACCCTTGTTGCAATTTAGAGATAATTGTTAAATAATGGCACAGGAGTGTCAGAGTTAAGGATGTGTGCCTCAGAAGGATTCACTTTTTTCATGTATGCACTGAGGGTGACAGACTGTTGAACTGAAATTGAATGTTAGAGAAGGTATTAATGTGTTGGTGTAAGGAGTAGGCTAATATTTGGATGTTTGTATTATGTTGGCTGTAATTTGCTCTACTTTATGATTTCCTTACTTTTCAATGTTTGCACTGTTGTGAGGAAACACCCTAAATCAGTGGTTCTCAAACTTTTTTACTGGTGACCCCTTTCACATAGCAAGCCTCTGAGTGCGACCCCCCTTATAAATTAAAAACACTTTAAAATATATTTAATACCATTATAAATGCTGGAAGCAAAGCGGGGTTAGGGTGGAGGCTGACAGCTCGCGATCCCCAATGTAATAACCTCACAACCCCTGAGGGGTCCCGACCCCCAGTTTGAGAACCTCTGCCCTAAATAGCCTTTTTGTGCATGCAGTATGCTTCAGAGCTGTGTACTCTACATAACTATTATAGCAACTTTCCTGTCTGCTTCCTTTCACTGCTATTGTTTACGTCTAATCTGTCAAAATTTAAAGAGTACATGAGATCAGAATCTACTCCACAGCCAAGAGAACCCATGTACCCAAATTAAAGGTTAAAGACTGAGACTGTGCAGTCTGTCTACTACAGCACAGCCACGGGGCATGCAAATTCTCCCTTCTCTCTGTATCACAGTAATACAAAGTAGCACACTTTGTGGTTTCTGAGGGCAGAGCTTAAGACCCCCAAAAAGGGCTCCTTGCATTTCTCTAGTCCTCTCACAAGTTCCCCCTGGGCCACCCTCACTTGGCCCTTCATTACGAGGGCTTCCTGCAACTCCCCCCACCCTCATGCCAAGGGCTCTCTCTCCCTGACCTTCCATTCTTTCCCTTCCCTGAATGTGTGTGCCCCACCACATTCTCCTCTTCCCCACGTGCCAGGGGCTCTGTGTGCACCCCTCTACCCCTGCCTTGATGCCTAGGTCTGTGTGTTCCCATTCTCCCCTCCCCAACTCCACTTGAGCTCCATGCTTCCAAGCCCACCTGCCCAATTCCCTCCTTTGGGTCTTTGCTTCCATCACCACCATTACTCCCCACCCCGCATTCTCTTGCAGGTCTCTGCATATCCCCGCACACCCTCAGCCCCTCTTCTCCTCTGTGTCCCCCACCCTCCATCAAGTCCCTGTTTCCCCCACCTTCACCCAATCTCCCAATCTCCCCCAAGTCCCTGATTCCCCCCTTCCCCTTTGCTCCAGTCCCTGCAGCTTCCCCCCACCCCCACTATCCTCTCTATAAGGTGCATTACAAACAAACAGAGGAATGCTGTTGAGTTGCACATAGAGCAGTAAATATTCCCTCTTTCTCATACACTTCTTTCTAGGCTTGCATCGTTGTGGGATGTGTGCTGCTAGGATCTTTGAAGACTAACACAGACTAAATACAGAAAAACGGAGTGGGAAAAGTGAAAGAAAAAATAAAGAGGTACAGCACAGGGCTACAAGATGGACGACACCCATCTTTTGGAAACAGGTTTCCACGTACCTGTGATGTTACTGGGCATAACAGTACCATTGGTGGCTGGTTGCTCTGTCCCTGGAGAGACCTTGGTTGCATGGCGAGGGGGCCTTGGGGATCTCTTCTGTTTTTTCCATTTAGATGAATCACTCATTCCTCCTGCTCTCATTTTCAGCTGTGAATAGTGAACACCAAGAACATCAAAACAGCAACATTGTGCAGCACAATTGACCACAAAAATCTAGCCCAGAAAGGCTGCCCCAAAGGCACAAAAACAGGCAGTAGCACTATATCACACAAACCAAGCACCTCAAAGTCATGCAAACTAGCCCACAGCACCCTACTCCAAAAGCCCACATCCCCACCCCGATTCAGGAGACAATTCACTTAGGGGGGGTCTTCACGGGGGGGGGGGGGGGGGGGGAAAGGGGATCAATCTAAGATACGCAACTTCAGCTACAAGAATAGCGATAGCGTAGCTGAAGTCGATGTATCTTAGATCAACTTACCTCGCGTCCTCACGGTGCGGGATCAACGGCTGCGGCTCCCCCATCGACTCCGCTTCCGCCTCTCGCCCTGGTGGAGTTCCGGAGTCAACGGGGGAGCGTGTTCGGGGATCGATTTATCACATCTAGACGAGACGCGATAAATTGATCCCCGATAGATCGATTACTACCCGCCGATCCCTTAGTGAAGACATACCCTTAGTTTCATTCAATCCAAGTCCCCAGACCCTATTTTTCACATCAATGTCTCCCTGCTTTACACTAAAATGCAGTCTTCTTTAAGACTGCCCTCCAGATGCATCTCAAACATTTTCACTTTTGCCTGTTAAGTCCCTGCTAATGTTTTAAGTAATACTCTCCTAGCAACTCTAAAGACATTTAAGTAGGCACCAATTCAAACCTGTTAAGGGAGCTTCCATAAAAATGACACAGTAGGGTTAGGAATTAAGATTCTGTCATCCAGTTCAACTCCATATCTTTTGTAGTTCTCCTCAGCCACACTTATACCCTGTCACACTTGAATCTCTGCAGCAATGGGACCTTCACTTTTTCCCTTTTGTCTGTTCCATGATCAAGTCAATTTCCTTAATATCTTATTTTTCCTTTAGCTCTTGGGAAACTAATTCCTTTTCTTTATTAATATTAACTTGATGGTATCAGACAGCAACCATGCCCCCCTTAATCTAGATTTTAACTTTCACTCCCCTTTGTTTCTACATCTAATCTAACCTTTGAATTGTTTTTGTCTTTTATACTTTTTGTAGTACTTGTATTCTTCCTAAGTTGTGCAGACTAAGACTATAGTACCTCAGAGGCATCCAGACCAGGATTTGCAGTGTTGCACTATTACCCTATGTCATCATCACACGTGCCCACACGTTCACATTTAGTAAATCTATGGCCACAGCTAGGTCTTGAAATGGCTACGTTCCAGACAGATGTCCCCCAGAGAGAGACTTAGTTCCTTTCACTGGGTCTAGGACTTAATGCTTGTTAGTACTGAATTTTGTTGCTGCAGCCAACTGATCCAACCTCTACAGATCCCTTTACAGTAGGGTGGTTCTTCTGTGCAGGCATAACCACTCAGATTTGGGTGTTGTGAGCAGAGAGTTTCAACTAGGCAGCAAAAATATTTAACAGGTCCCACTACTGATCCCTGGAGTTCCCTTAGTTGATGTTTTTTCCTTGCAAGCCTTACCATTATCCCTCTGTCAACCAATTTCTATTCCAGGCTTCAGTACTTTATCTAGCTGGTATTTATCCAATTTTTCAGTTAACAATGTGGCAGTATATTGAATATCTGACTGAGATCCAGATGGACTATCCCCCACAAAAATGCATTTCTGATCAAACTTCTGTAGCACTGAGTCAAAGAAATTGCAAGTTAAGGCACAGAAACAGCCAGACCAACTCTGTTTGCATGCTTTACCACCTGATCAACACACTTCTCAAGCCACTCAGACTCCTCACCTCCACAATTTCCTCTCTGTGGCAACCAAAGCACCCATTCAATTGTTCAAGATCAGCCAGAATTTCTGAGCTTGATGCAGAAATCATTTGGTTATATTCTATGGCCTATGAATGGAGGCCAGACTAAATAGTCTTAATGGAGCCTTCTGGCCTTAATCTATGAACCCTTAATTATGACCATATCATTATTAGGATCTTTTATCCAAAGACATATTTGCCATGCCTATAACAGAGTTAAGGTTAGATCTCTTCTAAGCACAATTAAGTTTTAGAAGAACTGGATGTATACATTATGGCTTCCAGTATTTTTACCAATGTCATGAAAGCCTGCTCTTAGTAGCCCAGCACATTTGCAGATGAATGGCTGTTGTGATAAAAGTACTAATTTCTCTATAGCATAGACACACCACTGTATCTCACTGATCTAATGTTATTGTCTTTTGCTTCTCTGTCCCCTTATTTTAGGTTTAAACTCTTTCATGGCATCTGAGGTATATTTTTTCACTCTTCTCATTTTTCCATGTGCTATCAACTGTTTTGGGGGCTTCTTTCTTTCACCATCCATCCTTTAATCTTCGTATAGCAGTTAGCATTTTGGAAAACAATACTGGAAGACCATCTCTCCCCATCCCCTCTTTTCTATCTAAGACTGTGTAACCCGTTTACATGGCCTATAATTTCTCTTATTTCAACAAAGCTTATGAAAATGTTATGTCCCAATGTGGCAGCCCATTTGTGTAACTCTTCCTTGCACCACAAATTCTATTTGTTTGACTGCTAATCCCCAAGTTTTAGAGATGTTACAGTTTCCTTTGAGCTAGTTAATTAACAACAGATTTGGGACTGCACTGTCCCTTGCTGTTTCCTCCAGTTTTTCAGTAAGAAACTACCCTTCCTTAGGTTGTAACTATTCCATACATGATAGAAAACATATACAACGTGAAATGTAACAGATCTCCATCATTTAAAAAGCTCACTGATAACATTTTTTTTCATGTAGACATTCTGTTTGCTGTCTCATCTCCCCTGCTTCCCAGTTCAGAGGGATACAAGCTATTATTCATTATCCTCCACGCTTGTTAATCCTTTATTTTAACCATAGGATTTCACTAGTATTTATTTGTGCTCCAGTGCTTACATACATAGCTTTGATCCACATCATTACACCAGCTGTTGATCTTTCCTATATAGACCATGTCCTTCTATTCTGGTATTCTAGTCATGCGCCTCATCCCACCGTGCCGCTGTATTACCAGCATAGGCGCCTGCATGAGAATTTCCTACTTAATGCCCCGACTTCTAGAATATAGCTAGACCTTAGACTTTTGCCCGTTCTCCTCCTTCATATTTCATCTCCACCAGTTGCATTTTCCTTTTTTAATTTCCCCAGAAATCCCTTAAGAGTCCCAATTTGCTCAATTATAAGGTCACTCCCTGGTTCTGTGCCCCTTAATGCTTGTAGAGGTTTGACGACAGCTATCAAATCTGATCAGTGTATTATTATTTGATTATTTTATTAGAAATAAATAAGCTTAATTTCCTCATTTTTTGACCACATTTGAAAGACTTTTAGAGATTTTTATATGGTCAATTGCATGCAAAGAGGTGTAAGCATGAAAGAGAAAAATGGAAGCATGAACCATTAAACCCAGAAAGGTTTATTTCAAAGCAATTGTAAGATATCAGATTTTGCTTCTAGTTACTAAACCCTGTGCCTGTTTCCATGACTTGCCTAAGTAATTAACCATTCATTAACTGATTGGTAAAGAGTGAAAACAAAGTCAAGCCAAGCCAGTGGAACACAGAAACAAGATCTCTTATTGAGAACTACCCATGTTGGTTTCACCTCTTCTACCCTCAATCAGGTTTTTAAGAAACAGGGAAATTTACAAAAACCACTTTAACATGGTTAACTTTAAAATATTTAAGATGCTAGTTTGATTGATCTAGCTCTGTAAGCAGAAGTTTGCTTTACATTCTATATCTTCCCCCCCCCACACACACACATACACACACACACTGCCAATTTGCACCACTTGCCAGGGGCTCAAATTCAACGCCGTGAGCAGACATGTAACCTCTGGGCCAGGAACACAAGAGACTCAATGACATTTCTTTATGATTTAACTTTAACACTCATTCAAATATTATGAAATACAAACATCTAAACGAAGGCCTATTTAAAAGCTTTGGTTTTACAATTTAGGGGACAGTTAAGATTACCCAATAGGGCTTTTTCAGCTCTACTCTCCAGAATTCCATATTCTGCTTCATTAGGAAAATTGTTTTTTAGGACATCTCTCAGGGAACTGGATAGCAAACAACTGCTGCTTAATCAGCACTGAATTAGCATGAGATTTATACTTACTGGGTACGTTTCACCATGTCAAGTGGTGTTTGAAGAAGGTGTTACAGTATGAAATTCTATGTTTGGGAGGTTCTGACAGACAGTCAAAGATGAAAAGTAACATCCTTTTTGTTCTTGTTTTTTGTACTGTACTTAATTTTAAAGGTGTCTCGCAAATAATTTTCTAGCTTTTATGCCCTCTTGCTTTATTATGGTAATATAAACATGACCTGAAAGCTGTCCACAGCTTCTCCTCCTCCCACAAGAGGTTTCCCTCCCTCATGCTTGTTTTTACATTGGAAATATCAACAACATAAAGCATGGTCTTTCCTGATTTTGCTGGATAATATTTTGAACCTTTTTTTGGGTGGGAGGAGGGAAGAGGGGGAAGGAAGAGTATTCAAAAGCATATGCATTATTCCATCTGGCACCTTAAATAATGGGCAGGGGTGTTGAAACTTCAAAATTTCCTTTCCGCCCAGTGTTTATTAGGTATTGAAGTTGAATAGAATTTTAAAACGTTGTGTTTTAAACAGAAATTAAAAATTTCTTTCCCTCTCTTAACTTTCAGCTCTTGTGATGTTATAATGTCACAAGCTCTCCAGTCAACCAGTGTCCTTCAGAATAGCCCATAACTGAATTTCTAGAGTAAAAACAAGCAAAATGTGGAATTTGAAAGAAAAAAGGGAACAATCCTTTTTTCCCATTTGCAAGTCATGCTTCAGCCGTTTTGGATACATCCAGTGCAATCAATACGATATCTACAAGGATGTCCCAATTATACAGATTCCTCTGCACTTGGGTTCCTTCAAACTCCAGTTATAACCAGGAAGTTTCTCCATCCTGCTAACTTGCTCTCTCCTCCTACTTTGTCTCCATAGCCACATCTCTCATCAGTTTACAGTCTGGGGAAATTGCCTCATGGTAGAAAAGTCAATGTTTGATTGAGTTTCCTTTGCATAAGGAGAGGAAGTGCAACTAGCAGAGCCATGAGGCTCCCGCTCTTCTCCCTTTTGAACTGCTAGGCTTTGACAGTAAGATCCCAGCTGAGGGTTAGAAAAGTGGGGGCGTACTACTACAGCTTTCTCTAAGAGGTCTGGGAGAGCCCATTATTCAACAAGCCACCTTACCTGCACACGTTTGGTTTTCCACAAGATATTGTAAGCCTCAAGAGAAAAGGGCAGGGGCCAATGATTAGTAACTAAAGCAACGAGACTAGCACGTGAGCTCATTCTAGATACAGCATGGAACTGGTCAGCGTACCGAGTGGCATTCAAGACAACAGCATGCAGAGAGAATGCAGCCCCTGATCTGAGTCCTGCCCCAGTAAAGACACTGATGGGATCAGTCATCTCACACACCTTCACACCCTCATAGACCTGGTAGAACTGGATGGGGAAACATCGATTTAATGACAGGTCCCTTCCCCGTTACCCCACCCCTGGGAAAACCCAGAAACACCAGTCCCCATTCTCTCTTCTTCAGAGCAGGAAGTTCAACTACAATACCATCTATCAGCAAGAAAGGGGATTCACTTAAGTTCCATTCTTGTGCAACTCAGCATAAGTACCCCATTTATAGAAGTAGCTCCAGCCATAGTCTTTCCAAACTGTCCTGACTACAGAGACAGATGAGGACACGCTGAAGACTCCTATGCACTTTCATTTCTGCTCTATCAGGAGCAAAAGAAGATAGGGACAGTAAAAGAAGCTCAATCTACACTGGTCTATGAACTCAATTTGGAAGCCAAAAAATGACTCCAGCTAAGCCGGTTTCTAATACTGTGTAGGGCCAATATGGACCGGGCCAAACTGTGGATCTAAAACACTTTTTAAAAATATTGTTCTAGTGAAAAAATGGTTTCCAAGACATTTTTAATCCTGTTTGGCCCCATTCACACCCACTGGGCAGAATGGTTTAGCTAAGGCCATGTTAGAACAGATTAAATATGGCTCTCAAACACTATTCCAAAGTCAGTGAAGCCAGAACCAAAAAGAGACTTGGACAATCAAATGGGGCTGTGATGTAATGTCTGGGAGGCAGATGAACTCCCCACCACTGTGCCACGTAAAGGTGCTTACAGTCTCAGTCTGCAAACCAGAGTTGTCTGACTGTGTCCTTGTCAAGTGACTCCTCCATCATGCTTCTGCAGCCATCACCCAAGAATGACATGCAAGACTTGGTCTTTGAGGAGTTACTTAGGCTGTGGGCAACAGGCTCCTTCTCTATTTTCACTGGCCACTGGGATGATTCATCCCTTGCCCACGCCCTCCCACTTCTTTCCTTCAGAAGACTCCACAACAGTGTCCCAATTCCCACTCACCAAGACATTTAATGATCCAGTGAGAACAAGGCTCTCTCCTTTCTGGTCCTGCCCCAGGCAGATCCACAACACTGGAAAGCAACCACTGCATGCATTCTCCCCAAAAGCCATGCTGTGTCAAAAGGGTACGGGGAGATTTGCTACACACAACATAACTATATCCCAGGTGGCGTTTGCAGGAGGAAGGGAAGGAAAGAGAGATGGAGGGAGGAAGGGAGAGAGAGACCTTCAGGTTCTTAAAGAGCAGTACCCTCTCTAACTGGTTCAGGGCTTTGGGTTGTTCCCCACTACTTAGTTCCAGTTTGTTGAGGAGACATGGAGAGATCTGTGAAAGACAGGCAAATGCATGGTTTAAACAAAGCAAAATAAACCCAAAGAGAAAGAATAACCTGGCAGAGTGCAAGACTATGGGGGAGAATTGTGGCATGTGGTGAATAGACAGGACAAGGTGACAGTGTTTCAGAGATTGGACTTAGAGCATTGCCTTCATGAGCTGGGAGCAGCCATCACCTGATTACTGGATAGCTTGGGGGAGGTTTAATTTACAGAAAGCTACAGCTTCTGTATATGGGCATTAGGAATTCTGGCACTTAGAGTATGTCACATAGACCAGCTCTGACCTTTCCCTGTTCTCACTGTCCCATCTTATGCTCAGCACAAAATCTGTTGCTTCCTTCCATCAGAGAAGGAAACATGCAACAATAGTGTGCCACCATACACTGCCGTGGAAGTACCAGAGCCCCTGCTGGTTCAGATCCCTCATCATAAGTGCACACTGGCAGCAGATTTCCCAGGACACCTCTAGGTAGAGCACCAGTCTAAGAAGAGCAGTTCTAAAATGTCAGGGATCCAGAAGGAAAGAAAAGACGTATTACATTCTTAAACATGTGAGATCACATTTGTGGTATATACCCTACTGCATCCAGATGCTTAACACTCATTGGCAAGGCAGCTGCACATACAAGATGGTACCAGGCAACAACCCAGAGCCCTACAGTCCCCTTTCTCCTCCAAGAGGGTGTGGAGGGGAGAAGGAACATCCTCTTCCAAAGATAGAAGCCCTCTTCTGAGCTCAGATTTCCACCATGGAGCATCCCTCTCCTAGTTTCCTACCTCTTCATGAGAAAAGCCTCCAGAAACCTTGTCAACACTAGGGAATTTTTACAAGGTTTTCGCAGTGCCTCACCTACCCTCAAGAAGGCTTCCTTTTTACGTCAGGGGAGCAGGAACAAGATGCACTGGTAAGCAATACAGGCAAATGTTGTGAAAGGAAAGGATGAAAAAGAAGCTGAAGAGATGTCAGAAAGGGTTAAAACATTTGAAAGCCATCACCACCAGATCCCAGGGCCTGCAGGGGTTCTAGATGAGGAGCAGCTGTTGGCTATTGCCACAGCTCTGCCTGACTTGCCCAGGCAATAATTCATAGGCAAAATTCATTGCTGGAAAAAAAGTGAGCACAACTCCACAAAGTTCAATAAAGCTGTGCCCATTTACACCAGTGGTGAATTCAGCCCTATGTTATTTAGCGTGCTTTCTTCACTGAGCTAGAGATTTCCAGGAATAACATAACCATAGATGTGAAGGCAAAGAAGAGAGATGTGAGCAAGCAAGAGGAGGCGGAGGAGACAGCAGGGAGTGTACTGGCTCTTACCTTCTTCATGTTAGCCCCCACATAGCTTTTAGGCTCTTCCTTAAAGTGAGGCAATCTGAAAGACAAAGAACAAGCAGGAATGCACACGGCCTCCCGGGCACTGGTGCAGGAAGAGAACACCCTCTTCAGATTTGGCTGCAAACACTAAGGATGGAGAACCACCTTGGACCCAAGATCTTCTCCCAGTTTCTTTCTGCTGTAGAGGATGCTATGGGAAAAGCCTTCTCTACACTATGGAACATTCATAGAAAGCACCCCACTGCTGCTAACAGTGGTACAGCTATGCTGATGTTAATCGCTTCAGGAGCACTTATGTAGCAAATTCGCTGGCTCCAGCTGCTGGTTTCAGCACTGAAAATTAAACTTGTCCAGAGCAAGTCCAAGTAGTACATTGCTGAAAATGGCAGCAGGAGGTCGAGAGCCACCTACACCAGGGCTCCCAATATTGCTAGCACCAGTGAACTGTGAATCAGTTTCTCTTCTCTCAGAAGCAGCAGAGTCAGATTTAGAGTAGTTATTACTTTGAACTTATCCCACTGGACCATCTAGAAGCCCTGTTATCCTCCACACTGCACAGTATATAGTCAGAAATCCAGCACTATTTTCTCCAGCCCTCAGCCTGAAAGCCTCACATTAAGCAGCCCCCTCATTGGGGGTAGAATAGATAGGAAGGTCAGAGCTCGGCAGAGATGGGCAGCTTAAACCTGTCCTCCCAAATGATCTCTGCAATAAACAGCATTTACGTCTTTACCACCCACACACCTTGTCTCCTCTCATCTGGCTTCCTTACACTTCTGGCCTTCACATGCTGGGGAGACAGCAAGCTCATGCCCCAGCTTTGTCCAAGGAGGAACAGACAAGGTAATATTTCAAAGGAAAGGCAAACAGAGCAAGCCCACCATCCAGAGGCAGTGCTCACCCTACTCGTGCCCCAGTGGTTGCCACAGGTATATACAAGTTCAGCTGCTCTCAGGAACTAGCCATGGTGGTGATATTTTCAAGTTAAATTGGGAGGGGGAAGGAAAGAGGAAGCTGCATATGGATTTATGAATAAGAACTCTGCCAAATAAGTCAAAACAATACATTGACCGTTGCTCCTTTATCATACACTTGCTTCTGAACCTAGCCACAAAGACCCATAGACCACAGGGTGTTTGCATTCATCCAGTTATCTATGTGGCCAGAATCAGAGTCATATTTCAAGGCAGAAGGGACCAAAAGACCATCCAATATATCATACACCACGAACACCAATCCAACAACCAGAATTAGACCAAAGTATTACAGCCCACAGCAGGCAAAACTATTATGTGCCAGAAGCAGAGACTAGGCAGGGCCAAAGTGCACCAATACCCGAAGCACCCACAATGGCTGGGAAATGATTAAGTGAGACATACTCAGAGAATCCTGGCAAGTGACCCACACCACAGATGAAGGCAAACCCTCCCCCCTCAGGTCACTGCCAATCTGACCTGGGGAAAAATTCCTTCCTGACCCCCGAGTTAGACCCTTAGCATGTGAGCAAGAACCAGCCAGCCAAGCATACAAGAAAGAGAATGCTCGGTCTACCTCACAGCCCCCACCCTCATATCCCATTTCCAGCCATGGCCATCCCTGAGACTTCAGAGAAAGGAGATTTTAAAAATCCAGAATACATGGAAGGTATGGTCAGAAGGAATCCCTTCCTGACACCTGCAGGTGGCCAGCTGAAACCCCGAAGCATGAGCTTTTAGAAATGTAAGACAAACTGGAATTGAGCCTGAGGGCTGCTGAGCCCTGACCCCCACAATCACAAGCAACCCTGTCAAACAATCACACTCATAAATTTGTCTCTCTTAAAATGAATTACATTTTTGCCCTCACAACTCCTAGTGGGAGGCTGTTCCAGAAACTCCTCCCTCTGATGGTTAGAAACCTTTGAATTTCTAGCCTTTATTTATTTGTTTATGGTCTGTTTATGCCCATTTGTTTTTGTGCCAACACTGTCCTTTAGCTTAAATAGCTCTTCACCTCCCTGATATTTACCCCCGATATATTTATAGAAAGCAATCATATCCCCTCAGCCTCCTTTTTCTAACCTAAACAAGCAAAGATCTTCAAGTCTCCTCTCATAAGATAGACCTTCCATTCTCCTGATCATCCCAATATCTCCTCTGCACCTGTTCCAGTTTGAATTAATCTTTCTTGAACATGGGTGATCAGAATTGTACACAGTATTCCACATGAGGTCTTACAGGTGCCTTGTACAATGGCATTAATACTTCTCTGTCTCTACAGGAAATGCCTTGCCTGGTACATCCTAAGATCAAACATGCTTTTTTCATAGTCACATCATATTGGTGGCTCATACTCATCCTGTGATCAACCCACACACCCAGGTCTCTCTCCTCCTCTGTTGCTTCCAACTGACTTTTCACTTTTGTACTATTGAATTTCATCCCATTTTTCGTCTCTCCAGGCTTCAAGGTCATCCCGATCTTCCTGTATAATATTCCAGTCCAGATCTTATTGATCATCAATAATGCCTCCCAACTTTACTAATGAAATATGCTCATGATACAGACTCATACTTTCTGTGCCACAGTCATCAATAAAAATATTGAATAAAGGTTGGTCCCAAGACTGATCTTTGAGGAACTCCACTAGTAACTTCCCTCCAGTCTGGTCATTCACCTTTCTGAATAACCTGTTGCCTTTCTCCCCTTTAGCCAGTTCCTTATCTACCTTGCAATTCTTGTACTGGTCCCCATCTTCTCTAATTTAACTAATAATTTCCCACGTGGTACCACGTCAAATGCTTTACTGAAGTCCAAGTATATTAGATCTACTGCACTGCTCTTGTATAAAAAAATCTGCTATTTTCTCAAAGAAAGAAATAAGGTTAGCCTGCAATGATCTATGTTTGGTGAACCCATGTTGCTTTTCCTCCCCTTTATCATTTGCCTCCATGAATTTAATTATTTTTCCTTCACAATTTGTTCTAAAGCCTGGAGTGCTACTTATGTTAGACTAACAAATCCAATTGCCCAGATCACTTTTTCTCTCTCTCTTAAATATACGTATGACATTAGCAACTCTCCAGTCATACCGCATTACCTTTGAATAGATACATTTATTAAAAATCCTTGCTACTGGACTAGCAATTTCATGTGTCAGTTCTTTCAGTATTCTGGGATGGAAATTATCCAGTGCCACTGATTTGAGTCCATTAAACTCTTAAGTTTTTCTTCCACCTCAGATGTGGAACAGAGATGGGGCTAGCAGGGCCAGTTGCAGTGGCTGGGAATGTGGAAGATGGAAGGATGTGCTTGTGGGAACTAGGAGGGTTGAAAAAAGAGCAGAAGCACTGTATTCCCCAGTCAGCATTTCTTGGAACAAACTTACTGCACTGCTTCCTTTTGAACAGATCTCTATATTTGTATAATACCCAGAGAAAGGCTTTGATTATTTCATTGGCCAGGAAGAGGAGTTTAGGCATTGCTTACAAAAATGAATTAAGTACTGAGTTTCAAAAGGAGAGGGAATCCTAGTTCAACACTTTGGCTGTGTTGGTCAGGGCACAAGATTCATCCAAATGACAAGCTGCCCCAAGTGACCCTGAAGGAGTTTAAATTCCTTTCAGCATCTGAGGTGAAACTCTGCTGGAATTAAGCATATGTCTATTTAACACGGTCTTTCTATTACATTTTTAAAGCACTGAAATGGATTCTGGGGTTTTGAGTGGAATTTGCATTATCTGGCCAAAGAACCTTTCCTTAACCAAAAGTTCTTGTTTGGTTGTCTGTCTGTCCCTGAAGGGCACCTTAAACTATACAACTTGGTCTAACCCCCCGCTCCTGTCTTGGTGGGACAGCCCAAGAGAGAAGGACCAAATCCTCCCTTCCCCACCACCCTGAAACCATGGTCCGATCAAACGGATTTTCTGTGGGCCCCTAAGTGGAAGTGTGGAATCTTCCTGTCCATAGAGGGCCATCTCAGCAATGCTGAGGCAAACACAAGCAGGTTTACCTTGTGAAGAGCAGCTGCACCATGTCGACCAGAGTGTGCTCTGCAGATTTTCTCAATAACTCTGCGAAGACAAAAACAAATAACACAGGTGTCATTACTCAGTGTGATATTATCAAGAGGCTTCTCCAAGCAGACTCCCCTCCGAGCCTTGTTTACAGAGGATTATGGCAAATTTATTAAAACCAGCTCCAACTCTGCCTTGATGCAAAATGGGCACATACTCACAAGGTGGCGCCACGGAGCTGGGGAAAAAAAACAGAGGAGCCACTGAGCAAGAAGTTGTGCAGTGAACCTCTGACTAAGTTTCCATGAAACTGTGGAAGCTTGTGATGTTGTAAACTCAGCATCTTCCCCTTGATGGATTTCATGCACTGGGCCTAGATGCAGAGGTCTGGAAAGCCCAGACCATTTATTAGGAGCCACCACCATGGGAATATGAAGAACAAACCTACCGCTGAGCCTCATTTCAAAACATATACGGAAGCAGGACTGCATGATCTCACACACTGACTCATTGGTGAGATGGGCTCCCACTGGAGTGAGCAGCAGGGTCCTCAAAACCTGCAAAAAGCAAAGTTTAAATGTAATGCAGCACCAGTGCCATTCACCTGCACACTGAGACAGGGTCGAGGCACTCAGGAAAGGTCTGCTTGGAACCCAGGAATCACTGCCATGAGTGAAAGGAGGAGGGTTTCCAGAAGTCACTTCAAAGTGACTGTTGTGCTCAAGGGCAGGAAAGCTGGAGAGCAAGAGTGATGGCTCTGCTCATAGGCCTGGCACCTCACATGCTGCCCAACACTTGGGTTTGCTTAAATTCCTTAGCCCAAATGCAGATCCAAGCGGTATATAACTCTAGGCTTGTCTCAGAGTAACAACTTTCACTCCCTACCACCAAAGAAGCTGCTGGGTTCCCCATCCTTGCTTTCCCCACCACTGGAGAGGAACACACACAGGCTAAGATCAAGGCTATAGCACATCAAGAACTCTATTTAAAATCAATTCATTTAAGCTTTTAATTATTTTCATTTGGAAAAGCTTTTACCACAGGTACATGAGCCATCTGTTTAAAAATAAAGTCTGTCACTAAGCTCCTGCAGAGTCAAAACACTGCTCCCTCCCCCCCACATCTCCATGTAACTGGATCCACTCAGTGCCAGGCAGCAGCCATTATGGTAATTGCCACTTCTCTCCACTTACCTGCAGGATTTTCATCAAGACAACCTCATCGCTTGCCGGATCCGTGCCCACAAATCGGGCATGCGTGACGGCGTCCGCCATGTTCTCCATTCCCTCAGCTGTGCCCTCATGGCTGGGATCTGCACAAGAAAACAAGGAAACCATGACAAGAAATGGAAACTGACAGGGAAAAGCCAGCTGCAGGCTGTCGCCTCTGTGCGGAGACGCTGACCCAGAGCTGCTTCACTTACATCTGCTGTCTTTTTGTGTGGCTCGGGGTACATTCCTGTCCCTGTAGGGTCCACTCAACTTCCATTAGCATTGATAGGCTTTTTGTTTATTGCTATAGTTTTCAGTATTGCACACAGGGCACTTTGGGTTAGGAACTGCCTTTTATGTTTGCAAAGAGCTTATGTTCTAACAGACAAAGGAAAGAAGAGAGGAGTAAGTGATTAAGCTGATTACGCCTGCCTCCCCCCCCCCCCCCCCCAGGTCATGTTTTTGTTGGTAAGTTAAAGACTACTCCCCAAACACCCATGGCCTAGTCAGCTGTTAACCGCATCACATTGGGGAGAGAAAAAATGTCAACGTATGAAACCAGTTTCCATTTGCTAAACTCACTTCTACTACAGGCATAGGAGTCCCTGCCTGGGGTTTCTCCCCGACAGGGAAAGAAGCTGTCCTCTGCTGCCTAAGGTCCCTCCCAAGGAGCAGGAGAGGGAGAAGAAATAGGCCAGCAGCTCTCTCAGGGGAAAAAGGGTAGACAGACAGGACCATGGCTGAGATACCAGAGCTGCAACCCTCCTACTTCAATCAGTCATCAAGACCCCTCTCTCCATTTCATTCTCTTGTATCTACAAACATGGGTGCAGCTGAGAGGGAGTTCTGGACAGGATTGTTGCCAGTAACCGTATCTTGTGCCACATTTCAGTGGCTTTGGGAAAGCTGCCTCTGGCTTTGATTTCATTCTCACTTAAACAATACCGCATTGAGCAAGAGTCTTGTTACCATCTTACCTAAACAGTCATTAGGAAAGAAAGGAGACAAACTAAACACTAGTTAATACCTCATTAATTGGGGACAGGGCTCCATGAACTCCAGCAAATACGTATCTGGCAGAAGAGCCCTGGAAGTGAATTGGCCTTGTGCACTTGGCAGAGAAGCTGCAGCAGATTCTCTCTTCAGCTCTAGTAGCATTCACACCTCAACCACTAAAGTCTACATATTAAAGAAAGCTGCCCTTGTTGTGTTCCATGCCCTCCATACCCCATCACGGACAGCAGGCTCAACAGCGCTATGCAGGTTCTGAAAAGCTACCATGTAAGAAACATTTTTCACAGCTACACGCATGGCAAGGGATGGCATCATGCTATGTAGCAGCCTGCCATTGGATCAGGCATGGATACTACTGGCTGAGGGACAGTAGCCCACCAACACAGCATGCATCCCTATCTTATGCAGATCTTGCCTTCCTCTGATGGGTTTGTTTTTACATATTTGGGCAATGCTTATATAACTCATTATATAATGTCTTATTAAACTGATCAGAGTCTGTCAGAGATTTGGATTGGTCACTTCTGACTCCACGTCAGTGGCATCCTGTTGAGCACTGACACTTGGTGGCAAAAGGCAGCACATGGACCTCAATGTCAGAGAGATGATAGTTTCCATCTGGCGGCCTGACTTAAAAGTAGACATTTCACAGCTTAGGATACACAATGGCTTCTACCATTGCTATCATCAGCTCAGCTCCACCCGTGGTGGTGCTAGTGTAGACTAACTGAGCTGGATTAGGTGACCTTGTGATTTTAACTACTAGCTCTCATCTTTTGAGGAATTCAGGCAATTCAGGGGTCATCTCAGCAGGAGCTTTAAGGGAAGTGGAATAATCAGAGTGGGGAGAATATGCTTCAAACCTCTCAATAAGCAAGCTCTTCTGCAGCTACAAAGAGCAATGGAGCAAAGATAGGCACATCCAAGTGACTCAAGTAGTAAATCAAACTAGCTGTAAAAACAGGTAGCAGACCCAAGGTACAGTTGCTATAATTTATTCTCATCACTTCCATTGAGGAGGAATGTGGAAAAAGGAACAATCAAGTGTTTTTTATTTTAATAAATATGAGAAGGTTCAGGGACAATGCAGCATGTAAGAGTTAGGAACACAGAAAAAAAAAAGTTTAAAGGCCTACCCATGTGTTATCCTATAGATAGTCATAGCACAGCATGAAGTTAACTCATTCCCCAAGACTTGGACTAATTAGCTAGTCATTTATTACTGGTCAGACTGCTGTACAGGTTCTTAGTAGCAGATGTATACACCAGAAAATAAAACTAAAAAGAACCAGGTCAGAACTGGAAGGGGATTCTTATTCTCACCACAATATAAACCAATTCTACTACCGCAGGAGGTAGTTATTTCTCTCAATCTACACAAGATGGATCATCTCTACTGCAGCATACAAATTCAAAGAGCGGCTACCCTGTGGTGCTGAAGGTAGAGCTAAACTGGTGAAAATCCAGACTGCACCTATAGACATGCTGAGCCCAGTGATGTTGAAAGCGAAAGTTTGTTTTAGAAGTGGAAATCTAGAAAGCTGCTATGGACATTCTGAAGTCCATGACATGTATGGTGATCGTAGCAAAGCAAATACGTTTCAAAGGGAAAAGTAGAGAATATGCTTTTGAAATTCACTGCAAGCCTTGACTGAAGGTTTAGGACTGCTCAAGACATCTAGATAGGTTTTGTGAAGTGCTGCGGAGGAGCCACTGGTCGTGGTACATGTTGGTACCAGCGAGGTAGAGAAAGGTAGGAGAGAGGTTCTAGAGGCCAAATTCAGGTTGCTAGATAAAGAGAAGAAAGGATCTCCCTGGTAGCATTCTCTGAAATGCTTCCAGTTCCATGCACATGGCCAGTTAGACATGCAAAACTACAGGGTCTCAATGCATGGATGAGATGGTGGTGTTGGGAGGAGGGATTTTGGTTTATTAGGAACTAGAAAACCTTGTGAGAAAATGGAGCTTATAATAGGAAGGATGGGCTCCATCTAAAGCAAAACAGAACCAGACTGCTGGCATGTAAAATGAAATAGGTTGTAAAGCCATTTTTAAACTAAGGGCTGGGAGAAAGCCCACAGGTGCAGAAGAGCACATGGCTTGGACATGGACATGCCTTCGGGGAGGGTTTATTAAAAGGAGATACTCTATTACCCTTGTGAAGAGGAGAGGACAGAAGTTGAACAAAGTACAGGCAGAAACTGAAGAGAAACAGTCAAATGAAAAAATCCCATTCAGTTACATTACATGAAGGTAGACAATTAAATACTGACAAATTTAATAAATGCTTGTATACAAACGCTAGAAGTCTAAGTACTAAGATGGGTCAACTTGAGTGCCTTGTATTAAATTAGGATATTGATATAATAGGCATCACAGAAACTTATCAATGGAAAATGGTAATACCAGGGTACATAGAGTCAAATATAGTAAAAATCTTAAATGAATCAAATTGTACCACAAAATCTCTATAGACAGAAATTCCGTGCTTGAATAATAAGAGTATAGCAATAGGAATATACTACTGACCACCTGACCAGGATGGTGATTGTGAAATGCTCAGAGATTAGAGAGGCTACAAAAAAACAGAAAATCCAGTAATAATGGGGGATATCTCAACTCTCCCCATATTGACTGGGTACATGTGACTTCAGGACAGGATGCGGTGATAAAATTTCTAGACAATATTACTTTTGCTTCTTAGAGCAACTAGTCCTAGAACCCACAAGAGGAGAGGCAATTGTTGATTTAGTCCTAAGTGGATCACAGAATCTGGTCCGAGAGGTGAATATATACCTGAACCACTCTGTAATAGCAACCATAATGTAATTAAATTTAGCATCCTTGTAAGGGAGAAAATACCAACAACATTCACCACAGTAGCATTTAACTTCAAAAAGGGGAACTACAAAAAAAATGAGAAAGCTAGTTAAACAGAAATTAAAAGGAATAGTCACAAGGGTGAAATGCCTGCAAACTGCATGGAAACTATAACAAAAACATACCAAAGGCTGCAACTAAACGTGTATCCCAAATTTTAAAAAACAGTATGAGGAACAGCAGAGTAAAAGAGACAAAAGGGAATCCTTTACAAATTGGAAGTCAAAGCCTACTGAGGAAAATAGAAAGGAGCATAAATTCTGGAAAGTCAAGTGTCAAAGTATAATTAAGAGGGCCAAAAAAGAATTTTAAGAACAAGTAGCAAAAGACAAAAACTAATAGCAATTTTTTTTGTTTAAGTATATCAGAAGCAGGAAGCCTGCCAAACAGTCAGGGGGGCCACTGGATGATCAAAGTGCTAAAGGAGCACTTAAGGAAGACAAGGCCATTACAAAGAAACTAAATGAATTCTTTGCACTGGTCTTCACCAAAAAGGATGTGTTGGAAGTTCCCACACCTCAGGCATTCTTTTTAGGTGACAAATCTGAGGAACTGTCCCAGACTGAGTGTCAATAGAGAAGTTTTTGGACAAATTGATAAATTAAAACAGTAATAAGTCACCAGAACCAGATGGTATTCACCCAAGAGTTCTGAATGAACTCAACTATGAAATTACAGAACTACTAACTGTAGTATGTAACCTATCACTTAAATCAGCCTCTGGAATAGATGACAGAAGGATAGTGAATGTCACATCGATTTTTTAAAAAGGCTCCCAAGGCGATCCTGGCAATTACAGGCCAGTAAGCCTAACTTCAGTACCAGGCAAATTGGTTGAAACTATAGTAAAGATCAGACACAATATGTTGGGGAAGAGTCAATATGGCTTTTATAAAGGGAAACCATGCCTCACTAATCTATTAGAATTCTTTGAGAGGATCAACACACACGTGGACAAGGGTGATCCAGTGGACACAATGTACTTGGACTATCAGAGAACATTTGACAAGGTCCCACACCAAGGCTCTTAAGCAAAGTAAGCAGTCATGGAATAAGGGGGAAGGTCCTCTCATAGATCAGTAACTGGTTAAAAGATAAAAACAAAGGATAGGAAAAAACGGTTACCTACCTTCTGTAACTGTCGTTCTTCGAGATGTGTTGTTCACGGCCATTACACATTAGGTGTGCACGCGTCGCATGCACGGAC